GTATGAATTTCCAGAATGTGGTTGACCCAAAAAAATAGAGAGCTCGGGACTGTGAGCGTGCGCTTTTTTAGACATTTCAAGATGGTGTGATGGTGAGTATCTTTATCTAAGTGTCAGTTGACACATGCCTCTAAGCCAAAACCCTCATACTGACGAGATGTCCATCAAATGTATGACTAAAAAACACATTAAAGATGGTTGAAGACAAAACAAAACTAGTTCTCTTCACATGCGCAAGCAACACAATACATAATTGGTGACATAACTGCATAGACAAAAACCCTCGTCAAATGAGATTACCGAGATAAATTTACCGTTCAGCCGTGTGTTTTTGCAGGGGCAATATCCGAACAAAAGATGAAGTATTCCTTGAAAAGTTGCACCATGCCCTTTGAAGGAGTGCAGTGTGCATGTCCAGATGTCTAACCCTCCTTTCAAAAGAGCAGTACCCCTTTTAGAAAAGTCAATATTTCTGCATAATACACGCAGTATTATTGACATAGAGCATCCCTTTCAAAAGTGCAACATGTTTGAAACTGTGAGCACTATTAGAGAATGCTCTTTCGCTTCCTACCACTGAATAACAGAATATTGTCCTGTATGGCAAAAAATCTTCGTGTGGAGAAGCAGCATTCGTTTGACATGTGTAATCGTCCCCTTGGTCAGGTCAGCCCAGCCTTCATTTAGACAACTCTCACTTAAAGAAATGTTTTCAATACAATCCAACAATAATGTTTTCGTTTAATCAAATATCTCACTCATATCAAGGGGGTGTTGCACAAATTCAACAACAGATTCTTCAAGGACGACCATACTCTTTCAAAAGAGTGCCACATGCATACAGTATACCATATGTTCAAACAATGTTTGATTGTCTTAAGATTTAAAGATGCACATTCTTCAAATTACAACATGTTTCAAGAGGAGAACTGCCTACACCAAAGGGGGTTATTCCCAAAATATGGCTCGTTGTCTTGGAAGAATATCACATTATGCATTCAGAAAAATGATGTGCAATTGTGAAGAACATATTTTATGTGCTTACATGTACTATGTGTTCTTGGTTTAAGAAAATATATTGTGAAAAGGGCATTCCATGTGCAAGAGGGTTCATTTTTGACAGAGAAGTAGACTAATACATGACCTACTTCAATAGGATGCCCTACCATTTTGAAAGAAATGCACTTGTTGAAGGGAGCACTCACTTCAAAGAGATGCGTCACTCCTTTTCAAGGGAATCCTCAAAGTGTTTGAACATGTGTTAACTCAAGGGTTTGGGCCAACAATGTCAATCTCAAAATCAGTTCTACACATTCATTGGCTGCCTATGATTTTGCATTTGTTCAACACAGTTTTGGAAAAATGACATAAACATACAAAATTGCCTAATCTGTGCCCCAAGCCCCCCAAGCTTCCTCCAGTGATACCTGCATTTTGCCATGGTTTTTTACATGGTTTCTGATGGAACCACAGGCCCAAAGCAACCAATAAAATCAACCAAAAGCAAGTTTGCAACCCCTAAAGTGGGAGAACTGGCAAAGAGTGAGGCCTAGGTCCTTCACGTTTGTGTTGTTTTGCCAGCCCTTCAAAAAACCAACAAGGAACCAGAAAACAAGAAACCAAGAAACCAAAAACTAGAAAACCAAAAAACAAAAAAAAATTAAAAAAACTAACCCCAAGGAACCCAATCTTTGTTACTTTAATAAGTCGTTTTTTTTGTTTTTTTTGTTTATTTTGGTTTTTTGTTTTTTTTGTTTTGTTTTTTTCCTCTTTTCCTTTTCCCTTTGCAGCAGATTGGCATAGGCCAACAGACATGCAGCAGATAAATAATTGTTTCTCTAGATAATTTGAGGAAAACTATTGCAAAATATTGCAAATTTGTGCACGCTGGCGGTGCCCTGTTCTGAAAAAATACTGGTTCGTGGTTTTGAACATTTTTTGTTTTTCCATATATTGGGAAGAATAATCCCAACTGACGAACTCATATTTTTCAGAGAGGTAGGGCTCAACCACCAACCAGAATAGTATGTGGGTTATATGACAGCATGATTCCTAAGCATTGTTTGACATGGGGATACGATATCAGAGGGACGTAACAAAATATGCCAAGAATACTTTGCTAGTCCCCAATAGCGATTAGATTTTTGTTGAGTTTTCTTTATTTCTGGACCAAGCTTTACTTTGCTCTTGGATTTATATGTCCCATTGTGTCCTATGCCATGATATCCCAAGGATTTGCAATGCTATGGATAGGCCCATCAACATGGTTGCTTTTGCCATCAACATGATGTACCATGACCAAACTGCCAGGAGGCTTTGGGGCAAAGACGTGCCGATGAAACTGCATGTTTTAATGAGGCTTGGAAAAATTCCGAATTGGTCCGATATGTGCATTTCAGTTTGGCGGATGACTGGCGCAGAGGTGTCTCGGAATGGTGCCAGATTTGTCGCTGATTTGTGAAAATTCCTGTGCTTTGGCAGATGATTTTCTGTATGTTGAAATACTGAAGATGAACTCTAAATTCCAAATGATATAATATGTTTCACCAAAGCAGTTTCTGTTTAGAGGCATCATTGGATAGAACCACCAAGTGTTGCCATCCACCTTCGTCTTTTCCGTTTGGTTGCGGCTTTACTTGGCGCAACCCCGTGGTCTGGTATTGGGTCCCGTCATTACTCGAATCTTCAAACTGCTTCCATCCATTTACCGGAAAACAAAGTTGCATATGGGTGTGTCTGAAAATTCTGAAAATGGGATATACCACGAATATGGAAAAAGAATAATTAATCACTAAATTCTGGGACACCCACTTTTACAAACCCAATATATTGTCCCTTGAACTACCACAAGTTGGCTGCTTTGTGGCTTTCAGGGTGACCTTGTTATGTTTCACCTTGTTCCAGCAGACCAGGTTCGGGGCAAGACGCGCTGAAGCATGCTTGGGGCAATATTTCGTGTTACCACTCCTTGCTGGACATCTCGCACATTCCCTTCTCGCTGACGCTGTGAGCAAAAAAAAGGTGTCCGTGTTTCTTCAGATCCGGTCACGGCGAAGACTGGGTGTAGAAAAAACCTTGTTTACTCCTACGAGGTGGTGCCCCCTAGATAGCTAAGTTGGTTTATAACTCCAATAACTATGGTTTATGGTACCTATAACTATAGTTAATGGGGTTTATAAACCAACTTAGCTATCTAGGGGGCACCACCTTGTAGTTTTGCACGTGGTGGAGTGGATCTATTCGTTTCCTGGAAGATCTAGAAGGTATATGCGAGTCGGAAGGGTTGCCCAAAAATTGATGTGCTAAGAAAAGTCTGAGAATGGGCTGTGCCCTCCAGTTCTAAGTTGTTTTTTAACCCAGTAACTATAGATACTGGTTGGTGGTTTGGAACATGTGGTATTTTTCCATATATTGGGAATGTCATAACCCCAACTGACGAACTCATATTTTTTAGAGGGGTAGGGCTCAACCACCAACCAGGATATGTCTACCATAAACCCACCAGTTTATCGTAGCCACAAAGCAACTTAGCGAGCACCGTGCATGATGAAATCGGATTGCCATATCCCAAGTTGGTTTTCCATATGTTTCCATAGAGAGTGGAAAAAAACTTAGTATACTTATTGCAATACTCAGTTCTTAAAACTACTTAAAGAAATATTAATTGGGATTCCATATTTATTGCAAAAAAAAAACGTATCTAGTACCCTCTGGTAATCTAACATAGCTATTGAAAATGGTGATTTATAGTGGATTTACCCATTAAAAATGGTGATTTTCCATAGTTGTTTGTATGTTTACCAGAGGGTAATAACTAATCATATCCTAATTATTAGTGATTCTCCTATATACTGTTCATATGAAACCCCATCACTATTTATCACAAATAGATTTTAATTAAACAACATAAAATGACACCATGGCGGCCATGGCGCAGAGCTAAGGTACGGCCCTCCAGGCCTGCAGTGTTGGTCGTCACTGGCAGTTGGCCGCGGAGCTGGAGCAAGAGATGCGAGGCACATCGCTGGAAACCTGGGGATTTTGCCACAAAAAGACGGGTTGTGGTTGTGCCATGAAAATGAAAAATGATGAGATCACCATGAAAAATTGAAATGTAAGCATGAAAAATGGAGATTTCACTGGAAAAAGCAGCAAAATTAATGCAAAATTGTCATTTGAGTATCCAAAGTAGGAGTTGATTTAACAAAAGACACAAATGTCAGGGTTGCTCCAACGAATTAGATATCCTGGAAGTTCTGAGTAAATCGTGGCCAATGGCAAGCTAATGCTTGTGATTCGGTTACCAAAATTGGACGGATCACCAGCCAAACATGTTTAGTTGTTTGGAAAGTTTCTAGATTTGCCATTTGTGGTGTATTACCCAAAGGTGGAGAACATACCAAACAACAACCAAACATTTAGACATATATTTTGGAATTTAAACAACAAAGATTGGAGAAACAAACAACAAGACTCGGCGTTTGTAGCCAAGAACCTTGTAAGAATGAACTTTAATGAACGACAATTCGGATTTTGAGCAACAACAAATTGAATTTAGCCAAGGAAAGCGGAATGTAGGCGGTTATTTGGGCGTTAATGCTTATCACAAACAGTACCGAACCCCAGCATGCAATGATCCTGGCCACCCACAGACAACCAGGAGTACATTTCATTTTGTTGCACAAATGCTGGTGTGGTTGGGATTCTAGCATGACGTGGCATGACATCCCGCCCTATCCCAAAATCATATTCCTGATAGGCATTTTGGAACGGTCTGAAACTACCAGTCAGTAGTCGCTTGCCTTTTCTTGTTGATACTTTAGTCATCTTAGATATACCCTCTGGTAAACTAACATAGCTATTGAAAATCACATTTTTTAATGGGTAAATCAACTATAAATGGGCTATTTTCCATGGCTATGTTAGTTTACCAGGCCGGGTACGTAACGGTAACGGATGTTTTTTCGGCCCCTTGTCATCAGGCTCCATCGGGGCACCATGGGACAAAAACCCCAGGTGCATCGTTGCAGCTCAACAACAAGGTTTGCGCGGCAGCCATCAACTCATGCACGGATGCCAAGCTATTCATTTCAGAACCTCCCAAAAGATATCCAATCGATACAGGATGGGGAAAAAGTTCGTGAACGCTAAGTTGGTGAACATAACTATTTCATAACAACAGTCTATGATACTTTCTATATTTAGATGGAGTGATAAACCAACAAATATTTCGACAGGGGCACCATCCTGTCGGGATATCATTTTACTGGCTGAAGTATTTACCAGAATAGCTTGAGCCCAATATTTTCACGGGATGCCCTCTGGTACCAGATGACTCGCATGACTCGTCAATCACCAGGGCGACATTGGCACCGCCTGGCTTAGATCTCCCTTTCTCAGATGGGAGAATGGAATACCCAGCAAAAAATTGTCTTCCGGTAACCATAATCCGCTATACCCTCCGGTAAATTAACGGTTCGACCCTGGCAGTCATCGGGGTTGGAAGATTAGTTTCCATTGAAAATTGGTGATTCTCTGGGTCTATGTTAATTTACCAGAGGGTAAATGAATGTTTGTTTGCTGGAAAAATCGTCGAAGTAAATGGTGGATTTTCCATTGCCATGTTTGATTACCGGAGGATATTATGTGGCATGGTATCTCAGAATAACCATTTGTTTAAAAGTGGCTAGCAAAGGATTCCGGGTTATATAATCAACAAAAGTTGTGCTTGTTGTTTTTTTTTCTGATGTTGTAGCGTGAGTCAAAATGAGGGACACCAAAATTGGGTTTGAAATACGGAGGTTTCCTGAAATAGGATCCCTAAATCATCAATAATGGATATTGATTTCCTGAATTGGTTTCCATTATCTCAACAATTCATCAAAAATTAGGTATTGTCCTAACCCACATTTTGGTATCACCAATGGAAAGCCCCTATTTCTTTAAAGTGAAATACTGATGACCTGCTTGGTTCTGGTGGAAAAAAGCGCTGGGCGTCGTACATCGGCAGTGAACCAATTAATTCAGGATAAACAAAAATGTTGATATGTTTATACACTATACAAAATCCATATTAATCCATAGTTATTTTACAGCAATTGGCGTTATTATCTTTAACTACCATCTTTTAGGATGCCCAAAGAAAAATACCAGTCTTAAGTTTCGGCAAGTTATATGGGATTTATGGTCCCTATGCCATGAATTTCCCAAACTTATGTCAATGGATTGGTTTAGGGGAAAATTTACAGGAAAACCCCATATTTAATGGTAAAAAACATGGTTTCCTGTAAATTTCCCCTTAAACCAATCCATTGATTATGAAAAAACCATGGTTTCCTGTAAAGAGTCCTATTCAAATCAACCAGTGCTGCCAGCCCATCTTACCTTGATTTATTGTTAATTAAACCATCATTTCGAACTCACCGCCCAATTGCTTCAATCATATGTCCCAACCCAGTGAACCATATTAAACCATATTAAACCATATTAAACCATATTAAACCATATTAAACCATATTAAACCATATTAAACCATACAGGATGAGGCCCCCAACATAGCATTCAGTTGCCTTATAAGTGGCGAAAAAACCATGGTTTATGGTAGATATAACGAACTAGTTCATTGTGGTCTTGTCATGGTTTATAAACCAACTTATAACTGGGTTGGCCCAATCTGTAGGAACGATTTCAATCCCAGCTTAAACCATATTAAACCATATTAAACCATATTAAACCATATTACAGTACACTACTAGTGTAATATGGTTTTATATGGTTTTATATATATATATATTTATTTATTTAACCATATATTAAACCATATGAAGCCATATATAAACCATACATTTCCCCGAAATTCATCCGTTCCGCGAGCGAATTTCAGGTGTGGTGCCCTTTGACAGCGGGAACGAGGCCGAACTGTGGGAACGAGCCATAAACTTCTTCCAGGACTTGAAGGAGGCGCCGCTGGCTTGGCAGATCATGGTTAAAACTTGTGAAAAAACTCGGAAAATGATAGGAACATGATAGGAAAATGATAGGAAAATGATAAAACTGTGGAAAAAACTAGGAAAATGATGGGAAAACTGGGAAAAACTAGGAACATGATGGGGAAAAACTGGGGAAAAACTAGGAACATGATGAGAAAAACTAAGGTTTCCATTTATAGGTAGTGGATAATACTGGTTATTAATGGAAATTGATGGATATTAATGGATATATATATAATATAATATAATATATATGGACCTTATATGGATAATATGGTGAATACACTTTGAAAGTGGTGACTACTCTCTGGTAAACGAACAGTTTGCTATGGAAAATCACAATCTGAAAAACCGGGTATCAATGTAAATCAACTATTTCTATGTGTCATCTTCAATAGCTATGTTAAATTACCAGAGGGTACCCCAAAATGTGTAAAGTTTCATTGTTCCAATTGTCACCCTCCTCAAATTGTCATTGCCCAATTGTGTGATCACTCGCGCTGGTGATGGTTCTCCTCTGCCTGGAGGCATCCCAAAATGGATGGTTTACGATGGAAAAATCATTTTAAAATTGATGATTAACCGGGGTTCCCCGGTTCCCCCGTTTCAGGAAACCACCATAGATATGTGGCATTCATCCCCATTATTGACGGTTTATGTTGGTTATGTATCCCATTGATTCCTGAAAATGACCCATTAATAGCTATTGCTGATTATGACCCAAATATATTAGCCAGGGATGTCTCATATCCTAAATCCTAGCATGCATTTGGGCAAACTGCAATATGCAGGTGAAGGTTGGCTATTGCCATACTTTTGCAATTTTAATGGTGAAATATTCCACATCCAGATTGAAGAGTAAGGTTTTTGATGTGTTTTGCAAGGCCATTTTTCTTTGCACAACACCCAGTTGTTTTGCTTAAGTTTGTAATTCGCGTTGGCTTAATTCGCTTTTTTGGGTCCTGAAAACATTTTTCCTCAAGGTATCAAAATGATTGCCAAATATTGACAATATTCGCAGCAATATGGACCTTCCACTTTCATATTTGGCAATAATTCCTATGGTCCTGAAACATGTGTCCATCTTATCCCAGTACCGTACGGTCGGCGGTGGCGGAAGTTTCAAAAATAGGAAACCTATAGGGGAGGTTGGTTGTTGTGACTCACGGACAAGTGTCTACGTATCTCCAGGAAAAAACGAGGTACATCATTGTTATTCATTGTTTAAGCCCGTCAGCAACCATTACCAGTCCGACCAAAGCCTTAAAATCGTGGCTTGCTCCCGCTTCCGCAATGGCACCTAAAAGGCGCACCAAAGCACCTATCTGCTGCTGCGGATGCAGCAGGATAGTGCCGGCGTCTAGGACTCGAAATGGGAAAAGCTGGAGGGTGCGCATTGCCTCCTCTTACGTTGTGTGTTGGAGCACGCAGTGTGTGCTACGTGCAATGCAACCAATTAGAGCTGGAAAGAAGACATGCTGGCTGCCCCCCGCCCTTACGTTAGAGGTGTGGCACGCGTGGAGTGGTCGTAAATGTTGTGCGTCAACTGGAAGGGCAGAAGGAGATCAGATGGACACAGGAGCCTGCAGTCAGCCTGCTTTGGGATGTGGCGGCGCTGAACAGGTACATGACGCTCCTGTTGGCTGGCCTTTTGGAATGGCACGAACGGATGGGGACTCTTGCAGGCAGGGAAAGCTTTCTGAACCAAAGAAGGTGCTTGGTCTGGGAAGGACTTGACAGCACAGCGATCTACATCATTTCCAGCTACATTAAAACTTTACAGCCTGAAAAGGCGTTGCTTGCCATAGTCATGCAGCTGTGTGTTACAATTCTTGGCGTTACCTAGATGCTATCTGAAGGTGGTTGGAGTTGTGATTTTTGGAGTGGTTGCAATGGTTGCAGTGCTCACCCCACCACAACTGCTGGATGTAGTGTGGTGTAGTGCAGTTGCAATTGTAGCTGTAGTGTAGTGTAGTGGGGTTGTAGTTGTATGTAGTGTAATTAGTGTAGCGCAGTTGCAGTTGTAGTTGTGGTATGGTGTAATTAGTGTAGTGTACTGTAGTGTTGCGTACTCTAGTGTGGTATAGTGTAGTGTAGTCTAGTGCGGCGCACTGTAAAGTAGTGTAGTTGTAGTTGTAGTGTAGTGTAATTAGTGTAGTCTAGAGTAGTGTAGTGCATTGTAGTGTAGTGTAGTGTAGTGTGGTGTAGCGTAGTGTAGTGTAGTGTAGTGTAGTGAGCGTAGTGTAATTAGATGTAATTAGATGTAGTTAGATGTAATTAGATGTAATTAGATGTAATTAAATCTGATTAGGTGTAATTAGATGTAATTAGGTGTAACTAGATGTAGTTAGGTGTAATTAGATGTAATTATATGTAATTTAGTGCAGTGCAGTGTAATTAGTGTAGTGTAATGTATCGTATTATATTTGTATTTGCAGTTGTAGTAGTGGGTTAGTGTAGTTGTAGTTGTAGTTGTAGTCGTCTGTCTATCTGTCTATCTATCTATCTATCTATCTATCGATCTATCTATCTATCGATCTATCTATCTATCGATCGATCTATCGATCTATCTATCTATCTATCTGTCTATCTATTTATCTGTTTGTCTGCCTGTCTGTCTGTCTGTCTACCTGCAAGCTTGAAAACGCAGCAATTCTGCGAGACTCCCTCAATTTTTGAACTTGACAACGTCAAAAACGAAACAATTCTGCGAGACTTCCTCAATTTTTGAACTTGACAGCATCAAAAACGAAACAATTCTGCGAGACTTCCGCAATTTTCGAAGTTGACAACATCAAAAACGAAGCAATTCTGCGAGACTTCCTTCAAGAATGTAAAGTTGAGTGCAGAGCTGACGGCCTCGTACCAATGCGTTTTGCGATTTTTCCATTCCACCTGTCTAAAGTACTGCGCCTGCCACGAAAAAGTGATGCCAGGTCATACGAAGTGCTGCACGCGTCACGCAAAATCATCTCAGCAAACCTGAAGACTAAGATCTGAGGCTTCAAAATGCAACCCCTCTCAGGAAATCAGCGCCCTGACCTCAAATGCCCCACGACTGCCATCGTTTTTGGAAATGCTACAAAACCCTCACGTTTTGCTCATTTTTGGCAAGGTGCACAATCCCGTGCACCTGCCACGCGAAACGACATCTGAACGTCCAAAAGTGGTCCGAGCATGTGGTGTTTTTCACATTTTGACTTCGAAATGTGCTTCGCGCCACAACCGCATGCAATTTTTTGAGCTCTCATCTGGCCAGCTGGCTCTGCACCCGCCGCTTTAGCGAGCCTACTTTTCGACCCTCCGGAGTCACAAATATTGGAAAAAGGCAGTGTTTCGCGACGTTCCTACCTTTTCGCGCGCCTAGATCTTCTTTCTTCTGAGGCTTTCTCTTTTTTTGATCTTCTTTCTTCTTCTCTTCTCTTCGCTGACTCTTCACATCTCTGCTTTTCATCTGTCCATATTGTCGGAAGTTTGACTTCAAAACTTCCTTCGATAAATTAGTTTCTGATTAGCGGCGCATGTTCATGGACTTTCCACTTTTCTGGGTAAGATTCGCAGGCAGGCGAGCGGCCGGATGGTGTTGGGAAGCCCCAGGGATCCATGGAAGCGTGGTCCCAACAACTAATAAGGACTGACTGAAAAATGGATGGATTCTGGTACAAGGTGAGGCCTTCCAGTCATGTTTGTTGGTTTATAAACACTATGGATGTTACAGTTTTGTTTAGCATGTAAGCCCTAGTTTTCACCAAGTTACAAGTCAACTTGGATATCGAAGGGTGCCTCACCTTGTAATTATATACTTCCAACAAAGATAGAACAGGTTTCATGTGCCACTATGTTTGAATGGATTTTACTTTTATATCTTTTTGTGGGTTGCTAGACCCATACACTTTGATTTGTTCAACGCTTTTTTTGGGGGTTAGGAGTTTGAGGAGCTCGAATTCGGATCTGGCCCGAAAGATAAGAGGATTTCAGCCAACAACCATGGCTATTTGGACCGGAAATCAGATCTCAACCAACAAAAGATGATTTTTGTTACCCACCGAAATTGGAATGTTGACTACCAAAGGTGGGATTTAAGCAGTGAAACGGGATTCTGAACAACAGGAATGGGACGTCTTAATAGACAGTTGAACAACAGAAATCCTTATTTCTGCCACTACTGCCATGACTTCATTTGCTGGAAATGTCATTTGAAGGCAAAGGAATTTGATGTTGATGTAGATTGAAGTTAAGGTCATATGACGTGAATGTAATATGAATCAAGTTAACCCAACGTTCTTTGAAATACGAAGTTAACGCAAGTTGAAGGCCGAGTAGTTGGAACTTAATGTATGTCATATAAATGTATTTGATGTAAATTGAGATTCACTTTAGTTTTTGAGGTTAATGTAATTTACCTGGTTTGTAACTTGGAAAATTGTTCCTCAAGTTCCTTTGATGATGAGATGGATTTGTTTGACATTTGTTGAATCTGTTATTGGTTCGACGGATTGGAATAACTGCTATGTTCTGATAGTTGACCAACTATATAACTCGGCCGGGACCAACATTTGCTATTCATATCATTTATATCCCCCATACGTATATATGTGCATATGTATGTATATATATATACTGGTGGTTTCAAACATGTTTTATTTTCCGTCATATATGGGAGAATCCTTCCCATTGACGAACTCATATTTTTCAAGATGGTTATTGCACCACCAACCAGTAACCATTTTTCGAGGATTTTAACCAACAATTACACTAACATAGACCCTGTGGTTGATTATTTTTTGGGGTTTTGGGGTCATGGGATGTCGATGGGTATATTACATAGTTTTTTGGTATATTGCCACCATTCTATGGGTGTTTCAACATATTTGTTTTATCACCAATCTGATGGTTGATTCCGCCCCAAAAAAATCTGAGGTGACGTACATCGCCCTGCTTTCCGCTTGTGCCAGCTGTAGCAGGTGCGAAGTGTTGGAGTTCACCAGGAAACTGGTTACTGAATGGGGATATGCTGGGATAATCCATGAGATTTCATGTGGATTTCATTGGGATCCAGATGTATAAATTTCATGATGGATTATAATTTAAACATCTATAGTGAATGTAATATATAATCTAACCCCATCTGATAACTGAGGACCATCAGCAACGTTTTTTTTCGGCTGGGCCGCGATGAACGTGAAGTTTAAAGCATCGCCGAAAGTTCAGCAGCCTTGAGCTGGTTGGATTTTGACAGAGAACATCTCCTTCAACAGTGTGGAACCATTCCCATAGGATCCATGTATGCTAAATATGGTAACATTTACCATCAATATACCCCAAACGTTGGCATATATACCATACATGGATCCTATGGGATTGGAAACGAGTTGTTTTTTTTTCGGACTCCAAGTTCGTGTCTCGGAGACGAATTGAAGCTGGTTTAGTAAAAGATCAGAGGTGTGTTTCACTGACGTGGGATGGATCAGGGTGCATGGCATGGATACATGACGATCCCAAGGACTTGCTTCTCTGTAATGTTAAGATCCTGTAAGATAAACATTGAACACCATGTTTGCTGTGCGAAATTGATCTACAAATGCTGGGTTTCCCATAGGTTGATTTACTGTTACCATCCAATTCTTGGGGGTGTTGATCATTTTACCCATAAAGAACCAAGAGGATTTAGCACCAATTCACAATCGGTGTTGCTCTCATTTTGGCCAGTTGTAGTGACCAAAGTTAATATTTTGCAGGTTAGAGACATATTTTGGTGACTTACAGTAATCCCTGCGTTGAAGACGTTCAGTTGCTGGCAGTCTTGCTTACACCTCCATTTTTGAAGGTTAAAGCCAATTAATTAGTTGCTTCCTTGTTTCCAAATTCGGGTTTCAGGCAGAAATCATCATTTTGGCTGTGTTGGAAGCTTCCGCATGCCACAAAACCCGTCCCATGGAAGGTGGGAGAAAGCCTTGCAGTTGCACCAGCAGACGCAGAGTTTTGACTCCTTGGAGGATGCCCTCTGTGACTTCACTGCCAAGCCGACTTGGGCTGGTAAAACCAATCATAAATCAATGGTTTCCAGTGTCCTTTACCGTTGTGAGTGCAAATAATAAAAATAATAACAATAATAATTATCATAATCATAATAATAATAATAACAATAATAATGATATGTGTTTTATATATATATGATATAAATATATGATATCTGTATATATATACAGTATATATATTTATATTGGATATATATATATATATTGTATATATATTGTATATATATATTGTATATATATATATATATTGTATATATATATATCACTCCATCAAACCCATTTAGCTGATCAGTTCGGAATGACATTCAGGATCACCAAAAACATTGAGGACGGATGCACAATTGTGGAACATACCCCCCATAATATGGTGGGTATGTCTTCTCAAAGCACCAGATTCCATTTTTGGTGAATACCCAGGCGAATTTCCACCAAATTTCCACCACTCCAGGTCCGAAAAAAATGGTCCTTCTGGCGAAATAAGTTTGGGTGTTTTGGCAAACCAGGAACTACCCTCTGGTAAATGGAAACTAGTCTTCCAACCCCTATCTGCCAGGGTCTATGTTAGTTTACTGGAGGGTATCATTTCCTGGATAAATTGTAGCCATGCACTTTGATCAGTGATGTTTTCACACGGATTTTACACGGACATGACATAATCGACTAAAAGTTAACCTTTAAGCAGGGGATTACCAAACCAGCAAGTTTACCCAGCGGTTGTCCCTCTAAACCCCACCGGCCAACTAGTGGGAAAAGCACAGTGGTTTGGGAAAGCTGCACGTGTCGATGTGAAGATCCATAATCTTAGTTTATCACTAAAAAGGAATGCACAACTAAACAGGTGTTTATTATGTCAATGTTTGTTGGTATCCATAAGGCTCTTATGTACTATTCTTTCTCATTTCCTTCGGAACCATATCAAATAGACTTTTCACTGTCCATTTGGGTTTGCCTGAAAGCGGGGCACCCCGAAATTTCATGGTTTGTTATTCTTTATATTCACTTACAGTACCCTATTCAAATGGCGACTGCAGGGTGCGGAAAAAAATAAATGTTTGGACACAACTGAGAATCATCAAATGTCCCAACATATTCGCATTTTGTTTTATGGACTCAGCTGGAATATCAACTAATATGAACTATAGTTGGAAAAACAATAGATGGGTGCGTCTGGAAATGGGATGAATTGGGGAAACGCCAAAAATGGCAGTTTAATACAGAACATGATTAACTAGCAGATGGAATGGGGTACATTATTTTTATTTAGTTTGCACAATTCGGGGGGGTTAGTTGGATACAACCGGATACAACCTTTACTTAGTCGCCACTTTTTTTTTTGCTTTCCAAACATACTTTTTTTTTGCTTTCCAAACATATCTCCACGAAATATTTCATGGATTAAGGTGGATTTAGCCAGAATACCCTCTGGTAATGACTAACAGTTTGCGACATAGAAAATTGCCATCGAAATAATGGATTTACCCATGAAACATGGTGATTTTCCATCGTTTTTTGTATGTTTACCAGAGGGTAGAAACATGTTTTTTACCACCTATAGTTGGTTCACGCCATGGATGCGAACCCGGGAACTTTTTTCGATGGTCCTCCCGGGTGTTTCTCAATGGCCCAATTGCGTTGCAAAATGGTGCAAAAATGGCTGCAAAATGACTGGTTGGTGGTTTGGAACATGACTGGATTATGAAATTCCATATATTGGGAATCATCATCCCAACTGACTAATATTTTTCAGAGGGGTAGGTATACCACCAACCAGATGATCATTGAATGCCAAGAAGTGTATATGACTGATGGGGTTATGCTGGATGCATCGAACTAGTGAAATCAGAAACCATCCAATAATGGTGCTTACCATCCGTTGTCGAATATAATGAACCATTGGGAGCTATATGGTCGTAGCCATATTCCCAACAAACTCTAGATAAAAAGCAACAAACAAAGCTGAGGGGACACCACCTTGTCAATCCCGGATTGATAAAACACGTTTTTTTTCTGGAAATATGTTTGAGCCATATCTGTTCCCAAGTGATTTCATGAAAATATTCCCATTGGGCCACCATGTTTGGCATATATCCCCACCAGGCCAGATCTATGTGGCCAATGGTTATGAACATATTCCATAATGGTAATGTTAATTATTTACTTGACCATCTTTATTGTGCTTGGTAATGGTAAGTAGTGGTTAGTAATGGATAGGTAATGGATAATACTGGAGGTTTATATGGCGTTTCCATAATGGTAATGTTACCCTCTGGTAAACATACAAAAAGCGAACTGGAAAATCACAATCTTTTAGAAAGGTAAATCAACTATTACTATGGGCCATTTTCAATAGCGAACTGTTAAATTACCAGAGGGTAACTATTTACTTGACTTTACTTGGATGTGCATCCCACTTAGGAAGTGCATGGGTTATAACCCATATTCAACTGGCTTGTCTCATACATGACTGGATTAAAATAGTAACAACTATTACTACCACATCTGATTTCACCATATGTTAACCTACAATCTAATATTACATTTCTGACCTAGTGAAATATGTCCAATATATTGTTTACAGCCTAATTTCATTAATAAACTATATTGTTTAACCATGAGTACCACAGCTTTTCGATTTCCTTCTCTACAATAGCTTTCCACCTGGGATGCACCCCTTGGAAGATCATGCCGCCGTTCAGCTACAGGAAGTGCCCACAAAAAGCCTAGTTGAGCAACTCCCCGAAGCATCCCTAAGTTGCGTTATCCTTTTTTTAAGTGGGTGTTTAATATGGCTAGTAGCCACTATTAACCATCAATGGCCATGCACAACCAATATGATCCATTTGCTGATTATATACCATTTCTCACCACATTTCACCACTATAAAATGGTGATCAAGCAATATTATCCATTACTAACCAGTATAAATATGGTTCTTCACCACTTTCTAAGTATCATCCATCAATAGCCATTAATAACCAGTATTAATTATCCATGACTAACCATTACTAACAATTTAATTCACCACTAGAAAGTTGGTGTACCCTCTGGTAATTTAACATAGATATTGAAAATGGTCATAGATATCATAGAAATAGGTGGTTTACCACTATTAAAAATGCTGGTTTTCCAGTTCGCAAATTGTAAACGTTTACCAGAGGGTACCCCCATTTATGCGTGCACCTCCATATCAACCTCCATATCAACCTCCATATATATATATATATTTATAAATATATATATAACCAGTATTATCCATTACCTATCCATTACTAACCGCTATAAAGATGGTTTAGTCAGCATTTTCTAAGTGCATTCACAATATTATCCATCATATATATATATATACATATCCATTACCATCCATCAAAATCCATTGACCAGTATTATCCATTACCTATCTATAAATGATTTTTTCTTAGTTTGTACCATCATTTTCCTAGGTTTCCCCATCATTTTCCCATCAAATTCCTAGCTTGTCCCAAGATTTTCAATCATTTTCCTAGGTTTTCCCAAGTTTTCCCATCATTTTCCTAGGTTTTCCCATCATTTTCCCATCAAATTCCTAGCTTTTCCCAAGGTTTTCCATCATTTTCCTAGGTTTTCCCAAGTTTTCCCATCATTTTCCTAGATTTTCCGAAGTTTTCCCATCATTTTCCTAGGTTTTCCCAAGTTTTCCCATCATTTCCTACTAAGTTTTCCCATCATTTTCCTAGGTTTTCCCAAGTTTTCCCATCATTTTCCTAGGTTTTCCTAGCTTTTCCTAGTGAGATCCTCCAGGAGCGTCTCCGGTGCACCAACATTGCCATCACGGCCTGCGGCCGTGGCATCGCCTGGCCCACGGCCATGCAACTCTTCGAGATCCAAAGGTGCTGAAATCATGGGAATATCATGGGGATATATACACATAATGGTGTACTATTTATGAATTGAACGGTGTATTATTTATAATATTTTAAATATACATATATATTTGGTTAATGATGGTTAATGATGCCTAGTGATGCTTAATGATGGGGATATATGGTCTCTAGAAGCGTTGATCAAATTGGAGACGCTGAAGGTTTTGGGTTCTTTGGAAAGGAATTGAAAGGAATTGGGTTCTTTGGAAAGGAATATACATACATATATATATATATATACATATGGCTAATGATTGTTAATGATGGTTAATGATGCTTAGTGATGCTTAATGGTGGGGATATATGGTCTCTAGAAGCGTTGATCAAATTGGAGACGCTGAAGATTTTGGGTTCTTTGGAAAGGAATTGAAAGGAATTGGGTTCTTTGGAAAGGAATATACATATATATATAATGATGGGGATATATGGTCTTTAGAAGCGTTGATCAAATTGGAGACGCTGAAGATTTTGGGTTCTTTGGAAAGGAATTGAAAGGAATTGGGTTCTTCGGAAAGGAATATACATACATATATATATATATATTTCTGGTTAATGATTGTTAATGATGGTTAATGATGCTTAGTGATGCTTAATGATGGGGATATATGGTCTCTAGAAGCGTTGATCAAATTGGAGACGCTGAAGATTTTGGGTTCTTTGGAAAGGAATTGAAAGGAATTGGGTTCTTTGGAAAGGAATATACGTATATATATATATATTTATTTATCTGGTTAATGATTGTTAATGATGGTTAATGATGCTTAGTGATGCTTAATGATGGGGATATATGGTCTCTAGAAGCGTTGATCAAATTGGAGACGCTGAAGATTTTGGGTTCTTTGGAAAGGAATTGAAAGGAATTGGGTTCTTTGGAAAGGAATATACATATATATATAATGATGGGGATATATGGTCTCTAGAAGCGTTGATCAAATTGGAGACGCTGAAGGTTTTGGGTTCTTTGGAAAGGAATTGAAAGGAATTGGGTTCTTTGGAAAGGAATATACATACATATATATATACATATGGCTAATGATTGTTAATGATGGTTAATGATGCTTAGTGATGCTTAATGGTGGGGATATATGGTCTCTAGAAGCGTTGATCAAATTGGAGACGCTGAAGATTTTGGGTTCTTTGGAAAGGAATTGAAAGGAATTGGGTTCTTTGGAAAGGAATATACATATATATATAATGATGGGGATATATGGTCTTTAGAAGCGTTGATCAAATTGGAGACGCTGAAGATTTTGGGTTCTTTGGAAAGGAATTGAAAGGAATTGGGTTCTTCGGAAAGGAATATACATACATATATATATATATATTTCTGGTTAATGATTGTTAATGATGGTTAATGATGCTTAGTGATGCTTAATGATGGGGATATATGGTCTCTAGAAGCGTTGATCAAATTGGAGACGCTGAAGATTTTGGGTTCTTTGGAAAGGAATTGAAAGGAATTGGGTTCTTTGGAAAGGAATATACGTATATATATATATATTTATTTATCTGGTTAATGATTGTTAATGATGGTTAATGATGCTTAGTGATGCTTAATGATGGGGATATATGGTCTTTAGAAGCGTTGATCAAATTGGAGACGCTGAAGATTTTGGGTTCTTTGGAAAGGAATTGACAGGAATTGGGTTCTTTGGAAAGGAATATACACACATATATATATCTGGTTAATGATGGTTAATGATGCTTAATGATGCTTAATGATGGGGATATATGGTCTCTAGAAGCGTTGATCAAATTGGAGACGCTGAAGATTTTGGGTTCTTTGGAAAGGAATTGAAAGGAATTGGGTTCTTTGGAAATGAATATACACACATATATATATATCTGGTTAATGATTGTTAATGATGGTTAATGATGCTATATCATAGGGATGTCACCAATAATATTTCTGGTTGGTGGTTTGGAACATGAATTTTATTTTTCCATATATTGGGAATCATCATCCCAACTGGCGAAGTCATATATTTTTCAATGGGGTAGGTATACCACCAGCCAGAATAGCATTAGTACCATTAATATCATGGGTATATTGATAATATGGTTATTAATACACAATAGTACAACTGGTTATATACTCTAATAATCAGTTGTTGCATCAGTTAACACACGTAGGTTAATATTGGTTAATATTGGTTGATAACAATCAGTTAGTTCTGAAAATCATATGGTTAATATTGCATAGTATGATATCATTATCCAATATATACTGACCTGGTTTTCTTAATAGCATGGTTCATTTCCCAATGAAAATGATGGGATATTAACCTGGGTAAATTATAACGACCTCACTGCGACCTCACTGGAAATCATGATTAATAGGCGGAATCATCCCCAAATGGCCTTAATTCAGGTTAGTGAAATATTATAATTTACCCAGATTAATGCTCTTAATATCAAAATATTGCTATTGCTATTGCTGTTGGTGTTACCCAATGAGAATCACATGCATTGTATGGATATGTTCATAGGATATGATAAAATGATGGGAATTCAATAGGGACCAAACCGGAGGGACATGGTAACTCGAGGGATTAATGTCTTTTAGTGGAATTTGTGCATGGAAAATTCTAGTAATTCAATGGAAAATCATAGTAATTATAGTGATTCAATCTGTATAGCTAGTTGGTGGTCTGGAACCATGGACTTTTGTGACTTTCCATATATTGGGACTGTCATCATCCCAACTGACGACGTCCATCATTTTTCAGAGGGGTAGGGCTCAACCACTAACCAGATAGTAATTCAGTGGAAAATTATCATAATGTTAATCCCATTGATTGGACATTGGGACATGTTGATACAGGCTGGAGTCCCATAGTTACCGTGGGCTAAACTAACATAGAAAAGCCATGGCCTATAGATATACATGATTTACCTTTAGCAAATGGTGATTGACCTATAGAAAATTGTTGATACCCAATGAAAATCACATGCATATTAAGATTGGATATTCACAGGCTATTATTCCATTGATATTCTACAATATATCGAGAATAGATAATTATTCATAGATACATTTATTGATAGATCATATTTATGGGATATTATTGAGAATAGATAATATATGTTGGATAATATGAAAATATTCAATCATTATACAATGATAATAGAGAATATATATTGGATAATATAAATGGGATACTATGAAAAAATAAATAATGTTAAATGATGTTGATTTGTTGATAATATTCACTGGATAATAATAAGTCCAAATGACATGGGGATAAACAATCATATTGGATATTAATATACAGTCATGGGTTAATGAACATGATATCATGGGTAGTCTCATTGGATATTCATGGGATATCTAAAGTCAGTATTGAATATTAATTTGATATTATTGGGATATGAGTATGATTGGATATTTTAATGGGATATTGAATATTGGCAGTACCATTGCTATTGGTATTGCTATTGGTGTTGCTATTGTTTTCCCATTAATGATAACTGGTTCGATAAGTTGCTTGATATCCCGTATTAAGTCCTGAAAATGACATGGGAATAAAGAATCAACAATTGGATATTGATATACAGTCATTGGTTATTATTTATGAATAACCAATGTTTTCGATTAAGTCCCAACCTTCATTTTGGATATGACTGGGATACCAGTAGCAATCAACTGTACAATATGAACTGTACTGGGATATCCAATGAAAATAGATAAGAACGGTGATATTAGTTGGTTAACTGATGCTATATTGTTATGATATTGTATTGCGATTATTTTGAAAAAGGACCCATGAAAATTGGGATCTCATTGCTATGTTTTCGTTTCCAAGCCATTTATGTGGATATAGCAGGGATAAAATGGTGTTTTACCAGCCGTAACGATATGATATTATTTCTTTGATATGATGTTATGTATAATATTTATATACAGAATGGGAATATACTGGGTATACAACCAATAATACGACTTGTTATTGGTTCGATGGTTTCTTTCCACCCATTTATATGGATGTCCCGGGGATGTATATATATATACATATGTTGCTTCAATCATCAAAATAGTGATATGTTTGGTTTTTGCATGTTATATGATATAATCACATAATACGTGTTTAATGCATTGTTATAAGATATATCATGGATTTAATAACATGATATTATACTAAATGATTCTTACCAGATTTTTTTTAAGTAACACTAATTAGATAGTAATATAGCCATCATTTTTCATGAAATCCTATGATTTAACGCACAGTTTTTTGATAAGTTTCAAGGATGGGAGTCCAGGATGTTTTTCGTCCAGACCCAATAAACATATTCTAAGGGTACCATCTGGTTATGACTAACATAGCCATGGAAAATCACCATGCTATTCATAGGTAAACCATCTATAAATGGGCCATATTTCTATGGGCCATCTATACCATGGCTATGTTAAATAACCAGAGGGTATACCAAAAGAAGAAAATTGGGCATGGGAACACCAAAACGGCGCGTGGTGAATTCCAAATAGCTGGTGTGTTGATGTTCATCCCCCAAAATTATTATCATGTCATTCTGTGGATGGAAAAAATCATGCACCAGTTCATAGGTGCTTTATCCCATTATTTATAGGGTTTTAACCATCCTTTTGGTGGTGCAGGATTTCTTCCATCCACCGTATGATATGATGTTTATCCATGATGGTACCAGAATTAGATGGGACACTTTACAGGAGACCTTTAGAATCGGTGGTTAAAAAAACACAGTACCATTGAGATGGAACCCGATTCACCGGCAGAATTCAACCATAGAATTCACCAAGTGAACTGTGCGTCAACTTAGCTATCGTCAACGGCGTCCTCACCGTACGTAGGGATTAGATCATGAACTATGGGTGTAATTCCCTATAACAACCAGTCAACTATAGTATATTCCCTCTACTACAAACACATATAGCATTATAGTTGATATAGTTGCTTAAACCGTTACATCCCCATTATATCACTATCAATCATTATTACTGGAATAATATGAACCGGTATAAACCCATTATTATTGTTGATTAACCCCCAAATCCATGAAATATACCATCAAATATATTTCAAATATAGCATTAAATCCCCATTCACCCATGATATCCTCGTACTTTTTGGTTACTACTCTCCACCACCACCGGCAGGCCGAGTGTGGTGACGCACAACGCGCTGCTGTCAGCTTTAGCCGAAGGGTCCCAGTGGCAGTTGTCCGTGCAGGTGTGGCCGTGGGGTCGGAAAGTCAGGCGATGAAATATGGTGAATGATGGATAACGATAGATGGGATAATCGTCATAGGATGATGAATATAAGGAACATAATATTATTAATCATATTATTGATATAGTTTTACTTGTAGAGGTTAATCATCTTATTGTCACAACAATATCCCAATGATGGATTGTTAATAATGGATAATGATAGAGGGATTTCATAGGGGACTTATCATCCACAAATGGGGATTAGCCAATATCTCCATTATAATCCTAATCACATTAATGGAATATTAAGGATATTTGCCAAATATAGCTAATCCATTAGGCATTGGCTATATTACAATCACATATTGTTTAGCTATTGGGAATTAATGGTTAATATCCTATTAAAAATATCCACTTGTTTAACCAAACTAAAAAATATATATAGCAAATAATATAATATACACATTGTCATATTAGTTTAGATTTATGTTGGAATTGGCATGAAAATCCATGTAGGTATATTTTCAGGACCAACTCTTGTGGGGATATTTCATGGGGATATAAGCAACAAACAAAGGGGATTTAATCGGATGTTACCCTCTGGTAAATTAACATAGCTATATAGAAAATCACCATTTTTAATAGGTAAGTCAACGAACCAAATTGTCATTTTTCAATAGCAAACTGTTAAACATAACCAGAGGGTAACAGCAATATGGTGAATTCATGGGATAGTAATGGCAATTGAATATATGGTTTTATAGTGCTTAACAGGCATCAAAATGGAATAAAACTAGGATCATAAAAATGATATGATATGGATGAATATAATGTCCAGTAATCAAAGCTGGCTTGGGTCCCTGAACTATAGTGGAGGCTAGCGCGGAAAATCATTGAACCAAATGGGAGATTTTCCAGCAAGCCAATGTTTGATTACCGGAGGGTAAACCCATACATATGGGTATGGGTCAAATACTAAGGCTCGGGGAACCACAGATGAATTGCTCATTTTTCGAACCATCCAATTCAATAAGGATACCCTCTGGTAAACTAACATAACTATCATAACTATGGAAAATCACAATTTATAGTGGATTTACCCATGAAAAATTGTGATTTTCCATAGATATGTTAGTTTACCAGAGGGTAATGCAATCAATTCAACACAATTCAGCCTAACAGCAAGCCGGAAGAGTTCCTCAAATGATCCCAAGGTTCGCTGGTGTTTGACCAAATGTTTTGCCCATTTCTTGGGGTTATGACATTTCGATGGAAAAATTGCTTGGCAGTTCTGATTTGATGCTTCATATGAGAAAACCAGAAAAAAAAATCAGGAGCACAGGGTTTCGACAAAGTTTCGACAAAATCGCTGCGAGAAAGGCCCAGGACTGGGCTGCGTTCATCGCCAGGAACCTGGCACCCCAGTGGTCCCGGATCTCCCGGATCCGCCATGGTCCGGAGATGATTCGATACGCAGACCATGGTGCGGTTTCACCATGGTTTCACCACTGAAAACAGATATAGAATATATGTCTACATGCGTACATGAGAACAGCATTTCATTATGTACCACTTGGTGGTTTGGAACATGATTGTTATTTTCCCCAATAGCTGGGATCATGATCCAATCTGACGAACTCATATGTTTCAGAGGGATTGAAACCACCAACCAGATTTCCTTTATATTGAGAAACAATCCAAAGTGGCAATTATCACAGGAAGAATCTGCTGCGGTTTGCGATTTGCGTTGCTTATGATTTGATCTAAGTAAAGGTATTGCAGGAGGGTTGGCCATGCTGTGATTCCTAGGTCAATATTGTCTCATTTCCCTGGTAAGCGTGGTGGGGAAATCCCAGATGATTTGCCTAACATGGGGACGTTCCAGGCATCTTTGAGATGCAAGGACCATCATTGTTGATCAGATAGCTGTTATTGTTTATGATGTGAATCACGCATCAAATTTTCTCTTCACTGCTTGAACTTCAAGTCCGCTACTTGATGAAGTCCAATCTTTGTTGGTTGAGAAACAGTCCACATCTGGGGCAGGTTAGGCCCATTGCCAGGTGTTTAAAAGCCTGCTGCAGAAGAAGATTACACCCACGGTGCGCAGCGCAGAGTCTTCCACCCAGGGAAAGAAGGGAAATGCTGATATCCAGGGTGGATTTATAGAAACACCTGTTTGGGGTGTTTTATCACGTAGGGATAATATGTGATTCCGAAGAAGCGAGGAAAATGATCGTGTGGTGTTTTTTTGCTTTGCTTCCGTTTCAACAGTCACTTTTGACGTTTTGGGTGGTATCTTTGTGATCAATCAGTGAGGATTCAGCAGAATTTCCAAGGGATCAGGCTTTGATGGCTACGTGGCTCCCACTTTTAGCCGGAAGATCTTTGCCGGGAGTCCGGCCCCCAATTTTCCCAGACTTGGATGAAAAATTGGCAGGAAACTCATGTAAAACCATGTAAAACCCATCACTGACTATAGATTGTCCCTTAAACCCAAGCTAGTTTGAGGAAGATACTTATGCTGGTTGGTGGTTTGGAACATGTTTTCCATATATTGGGAACAATAATCCCAACTGACTAATATTTTTCAGAGGGGTTGAAACCACCAACCAGTTATAACAATCTAGCATGGCAATGTAAAACAACCATTCGCAATCGCATGATCGCCTCTAAATCGCCAACATCAGCGACCCATGTTGATCTTAATTCCGGAGCGCTAGCCCCATATCAAACACCCCGGCCAACAAAATATAGTAACAGATGCCAAAAAGTTGAAACGGACATTACGGAGGACACATCATTTGTTCAGCTGTTATATCCTGGAAGCGCGTTTCGGCATATTTTTTTTGGGGGGCGCTTTTTGGTTTAGTATCGGTTTCAAGTATCCCTTTTGTTCGGAGATAAGTTCTTGTGTTTGTTGATGATATCCCGAGTGCGTCTGATTAGTGGGTATTGGTCGTAGGTGGCTGTTCCTGTTGCTGAAATTCTCCGTGGTAGATGAATTAGGGTAAAGTAGAAGGGTGAGTCATCCTTCCCCTTTGTTTTCGTTGCGTTAAATATTAAATAACATGTTTTCATGGTTGAAACCAATTATATCATCATTGATTGCCGTTACCCTCTGGTAATTTAGCAGTTTGCGACCTAGAACATGGCCATAGAAAGTTCGTTGATTTAGCCACCTAAAAATGGTGATTTTCAACAGCTATGTAAACGTTTACCAGAGGCTAACCTCTACCTCTACCTCTACCTCTATACCTCCACCTCTACCTCTATACCTCTACCTCTACCTCTATACCTCTATACCTCTATACCTCTGTTAGATTCTCATGTTCATGGTTAGCCTTTGGTAAACGTTTACATAGCTGTTGAAAATCACCAGTTTTAAGTGGGTAAATCAACGAACTTTCTATGGCCATGTTCTATGTCACAAACTGTTAGTCATTACCAGAGGGTAGATATCATTCAATTTCACTACATCCCATTACCCTCTGGTTATTTAACAGAGCCATGGTGTAGATGGCCCATTTATAGATGGTGTCCCTATTAAAAATGATGATTTTCCATGGCTATGTTAAATAACCAGATGGTAAATCCCATTAAATTCCATTAAATTCCATTAAACCTTGGTTGACACACATGTATTCTGCATATTTATTCCTTGGGCCACCGGAGGTGGTTACTGTGAATTCCGTGCTCCACGCGCTGTGTCGCGGATCCCACCATGTTGCGGCCCAACGGCTCCTAGGTGGGACGAAAACAATTCGGGATGAAATGGGATGAACATCAAGCCATTCTGCGATTTTTCATGGGATATGAAAATCGGATATGTTAATGGTAGAGGTTTAATGGGATTTAATGGGATTTAATGGGATTTAATGGGATTTAATGAGGTTTAATGGGATTTAATGGGGTTTAATGGGGTTTAATGGGTTTTAAAGGGGTTTAATGAGGTTTAATGGGATTTAATGGGATTTAATGGGATTTAATGGGATTTAATGAGGTTAAATGGGATTTAATGGGGTTTAATGGGGTTTAATGGGTTTTAAAGGGGTTTAATGAGGTTTAATGGGATTTAATGGGATTTAATGGGATTTAATGGGATTTAATGAGGTTAAATGGGATTTAATGGGGTTTAATGGGGTTTAATGGGTTTCAAAGGGGTTTAATGAGGTTTAATGGGATTTAATGGGATTTAATGGGATTTAATGGGATTTAATGAGGTTAAATGGGATTTAATGGGGTTTAATGGGGTTTAATGGGTTTTAAAGGGGTTTAATGGGGTTTAATGGGGTTTAATAGGGTTTAATGGGGTTTAATGGGGTTTAATGGGGTTTAATGGGATGTAGTGAAATTTAATGATATACCCTCTGGTAAACTAAGAGTTTGCGACATTGAAAATGGCCCATAGAAATAGTGGATTCACCCAGCTGTAAAATGGTGATTTTCCATAGTTATGATTCATGATACTTTACCAGAGGGTATATCCTATGATTCATATAGTTAGATCCCATTATATCCCATGTGTATATATATATACATATATATATATCCTATGAGCTATATGGGATATAATGGGATATGAAAATGGGATATTTCACTAAGTTAATGGGATAAGTTAATGGTACTGATGGTGTGTAACAAAGGATTAATCTGGTTTATAAACCAAAACTATAATTTAGGATGAGGCTCCCCAGTGATGTTTGTTGGTTTATAGTGTCAACCCCGGATTAATAAACCATGGTTTATTAATCAAGGGCGTACTCCTCCAATAGTCATAATCGAATACTTAAATGGTACCTCCCAATTAAACAGCCTAGGGGTTTATTAATCCAGGGTTGAAATTAAACCATAACAAAACCACCATTAACATCATTAACTAGCTCGTTATATCAACCATAAACCATAGTCTTTTTCGCCACTTTTTGTAGGTAACTGAACACGAGCTCGACTGGGGGCCCCATCCTGCAGGGATTCAGATGCCCATGCTTCAGGATTCCCAAAATGAGACGGATGACAATGACCCATATACATCCATGTTTTGGCCATGGGATAATGATATGGATTTGGCATTTCATAAAATCAAAATAGACACAGGGTAGGAAGGCTTCCCCACTATGATAAACTGAGCAGAACTCAAGCAGCTCACAATACTGGAAAATTGGCACTGCTCCAATCATTCAAATCTGGATTGTTTTCTATTTTTTTGCCAGTGATTCAACCAACAATGTTGTGTGGATTTGAGCAGAACAAATCCTGCTTTAATGGGATTTACCATCTGCGTATGACGAACATAGCCATGGAAAATCACTATTTTTAATAGGTAGACCATCTATTTCTATGGGCCATCTACACCATGGCTATGTTAGTCATAACCAGAGGGTAAGTTAATTCACAAAGTAGGAATATAGCTTTAGTAGCTGGGTAAAGATTGAATAGCTTGGCATTTTCTTGCTCAAAGTTGAGGAATATACCCTCTGGTGAACTAACATAGCAATGGAAAGATCCACCATTCTTAATGGGAAAATCCACTATTTCTATAGCCATTTTCCATAGCTTTTTGTATGTTCACCAGAGGGTATGCCTAACGAAAATCAACTTGAATCCACCAGAGGCAATTTGGGGATTACCCTCTGGTTATGTCAACAGTTTGCTATTGAAAATGGTGATTTATAGTGGATTTTCCCATGAAAAATGGTGGATCTTTCCATAGTTTTTTGTATGTTTACCAGAGGGTAATCTTGGTTTGGTCAGTTAGAGTGGTGTTTTTTTTTGTGAAGCTTATCTAAGATTGGCATAGATTGGCCATGATTCCAGAAATTGTGAGTTTTGCATTCCATGTATTAAAAAGACTTGAGCAAAAATAAGGGTTCATCAGTCGGTTCATGTAGTTTGATAAATGAGTATTTCCTAAAATGGGGGTACCCCTAAGTCATCCATTTTAATGGGATGATTTTCCATTATAAACCATATAGCTATTGGATGCTATTGGGGTATCCCCATTTATGGAAACTCCCAAGTGTTCCATAGAGGTGGGGTCACAGGTTGTTGTGCATTTGCGTTAGATATTCCGAATCCCGAATCCATATTTTGGTCACACAACAAGATTCAGCCAAGGGAAAATTCAGGTACCTAAATTGGAGGTACCCAATCTATGTCCGGTCTATGTAACTAACCTCTACATGGACTTCGTCCCAGATGTTTTACTTGGATAAAGCTCTAAAATTTGATGGTGGAAGCCATTTGTGATGCCGAAACATGAAAACATGGTTGTCGCAGGAAAAAAACACATTACCCGCTGGTAAACTAACAATTTGCTATGGAAAATCACCTTTTTTAATAGCTAAATCAACGAACTAAATGGGCCATGTTCAATAACAAGCTGTTAGTTTATTGGAGGGCATATGATGATATCATGGAAAATGGAATCCATTGCCCATAGAAATAGATGATTGTTCCCAGCTAGAAACCTCCATTTATGACGGGATTTTCCATGGCTATGTTAGTCATTAGGAGAGGGTAGATATCATTCAATTTCACTACATCCCATTACCCTCTGGTTATTTAACATAGCCATGGTGTAGATGGCCCATTTATAGATGGTGTCCCTATTAAAAATGGGGATTCTCCATGGCCATGTTAAATAACCAGATGGCAAATCCCATTACATTCCATTAAACCTTGGTTGACACCAGATAGAAAATTGATGATTTAATGTTGCTTAACCCTTAGAACTATAGTAACTATAGACTATTGTTATAATGTGTTACTACTGTTAGTCATAACCAGATGGTATGATGATGATCTCATGGCTATCTTCAACTCGGGGAGGCAGGATGCCGTCCTACAGCTTGACGGCTGACTTGTACAGCTACACCACCGTGATGTCGGCATGCACCAGTGTGAGTTGTTGCTTGGTGATTTACCAGGATTTTATGGGATTTTATGGGATGTTCAATGAGATTTAATGGGATTTTATGGGATTGAATGGGATCTAATAATATCTACCCTCTGGTAATTTGTTACACAGCTATGGAAAATGGACCATAGAAATCGTTCATTTACCCATTAATAGCATGGTAATGTTTTTTTGATGTTTTTTGTATGTTTACCATGTGAACTGTTCAGCCCTGTGAAGGATGGTCAATAATCAACAGATGGATTTTTGATGCCCATCATGACATGACGATGACCATGGCACCAATATGGTGGATCAGTCAGTTTGGTGAGTTATTCTTTGGCTCTGCGGGTTCTGCATTAAAAAATGATCCTGATATACATATACATATACATATATATATATATATACATACCTACATATATATATATGGGGCAAGGTTGGGTGGAATTTCAGGGTTGTAAGTTGTAAGTATCCCCGGTTGCATCATTATTTATCATCCCCACAATCATGGGTGAACGATGTTTCTTGATTTCCTTATTAGGTGAACGCCAGATTTTCCTGGTAGCTTTGGGGTATGTCCATCCCCCATCCTCAGTTGGTGCTTTGCAACTGCTGAAGATTAGTTAGTTTAAGCTGGGGGTCAGCTTCAGACATAGGGGCAAAAGTTTGCTTTGATTTGCAAACTCACCATCAATATATGCCTTACCCTCTGGTAAACTAACATAGCTACGGAAAATCACCATTTTGAATGGGTAAAACAACTATAAATTGCAATTTTCAATAGCCATGTTAAATTACCAGAGGGTAATTTGATGAATGGCAAGGTTAGTATGTTGGCCCAGAATTCTCATGTGGATGATCAGATTGTGGCTTGCACAAACCCCATCATCAATGTGGTAGAAACATTGAGATTTAAATTGCCAAGAAATCTGACATTCAGCAGATGGTCCCGTAACTTGTTGCCCTTAAACCAATACTGGGAAACAAACACGGAATTTTTGATATTTCGATGCCTTTTAGAGCCTGATTTCAATCCCCTATCTGTACATAGTGCCTCAAGATAGGTGATCATTACTATCATAGAATTGGATGATGGGAAAATTTACAGGAAACCCCTATATTTGATGGTAAAAACCATGGTTTCCTGTAGATTTTCCCTTAAACCAATCCAGTGATACTACTGTTACGGAGTTTTCCTGAACGACCTGCTGTACCTTGCGTGACTCTGCAAGCTTCGCTTCGCAAGCTTCGAGGCTCAGAGACCAGATAGATCTCTGACAGCCCCGGAGAGCTTTCAATCATACCAGCAACCCATCTTGGCAGCCCAGACAATAAGTGGTTCACAACCACCATGAACCATTGTTACTCTAACCCAGGTGCACAATTATATGTTTTAGGTCCTAAGCTACAAACTCGACATCCAAGAAGCTAGCTACAAAGTCAGCTGAAGTCTTTAAGGGTGCAGATGGCAACTGAGTTTTTTTGTGGCGGATGGCTCTATGGTTTGGAGGATTTGGAAGAATTGTATTTGGGGTGCACTTCCACTAGTAAGTAGATCAAAACATATTATATCCATAGTTATAGGCTTAAAAAACAAACTTTTGGAGGTTGGAATCCCATATTTATCCCCACAAAAATAACCCCTGGCCACCCCCAAGTAGTGGCCACCCAGCCCGGGAGATAGCCAATAAACATTGCCAGACACAGCTAATGGCTGGATGTGCAACCTAGTTCGCAAGTGATGAGCCCATAAATAGATATAGTTACAACCCTACTGAATATACACATCTAATACATATATACACATAATTATTATGTATGTGTATGTGTATATATATATAATGAAGGCGCTTCTAACATGGAATCCCACGCAAAGGCCGCCTTTTCATCCTTCCTATCCTTGCGATCCAATTGGCGTTTCGCCTTTTTTCGCCATGGCGTTGCAAGGGGAAGAGGTTCCTTGTGACAAGGTTTACCAAGCCTGGAGATGTCTCAAAGGCTTGGGAACCTGGGATTTTTAGGGTCACGAGGGTGATGGGTTTATGATGGATACCCGACATGGCAAACATACAAGAAACGATGGGAAATCACCATGCTATTAATGAGTAAATCCATTATGAATGGCAATTTTCAATAGCTTTTTGTATGTTTACCAGAGGGTACTTGGGGGTGGCCAGGGGTTGTTTGGATTTTGTATCACTATGGGATTCTAAGCTCCACAAGTTGGGATCTAATTTAACTGCAGCTATGGTTACAGAACCATTTACCCTCTGGTAAACTAACATAGCTATTGAAAAACTGCCATTTATAGTGAGTTTTCCCATTAAAAATTGTGATTTTCCATAGTTTTTTGTATGTTTACCAGAGGGTAACTAGTTCGATTTGAGTGTAAATTTACTTTTGCTGGTGCTTTGAACAGGTGAAAGGAGTTGTTGGGATCTATGTTGGAGCAGTGGAGTGTTTTAACCGGTCACTGCCCGAGGAACGAAGTGGGGCCACCTCGATTTATGTTGGATGACGTACATCTGCGGCATCACATCATCTCGGCAGTTACAGGGTCTTCCCAGCAGCCTGCAATCGTTAACCTTGAAGGACTTCAATGAGAAACTTGGCTGAAAATGGATGGTTTCTCATTGAAGTCCTTCATAGTTTGTCATTGAAGTCCTTCATAGTTTCTCAATCCATTTTCTTGACTTAACTTTGGTGGTGCCAATCGTTTCGGTCACGGGTCAAGAAAATGGATGACATGGATGGTTCGGCCAGGGGGTTTCCTTTCCCCAAGTGAGCAGTGGCTTAAATCAACCCTAGATGTTTTCCATGATAGTGGATTTTTACTACACAAGATTGGGGAATATCACAATCCACGGGGAATCCAAGCAAAGGCCCCATCAACCAATTTTTGCAGGGACAGTTGGACCAGTCCCTCTGGTGATATTTCTGCTCACCTTCTGGATCCTCCTGTTTGGTGCCAGCCAGTTCCTATCTGGTTGGTGGTTTCAAACATGACTTTTATTGTCCATTTCATATATGGGATGTCATCCTTCCCATTGACTTAATGTTTTTCAAGAGGGTTATTGCACCACAAACCAGATTATTATTAACCATCATTAACTGTATAATAACCCTATAATAACCATATATTAACCATCTATTAACCATATATTAACCATCATATAATAACCATATATTAACGGTAAAAACCATATATTTCATCCATGTTCCTCGTTGACACCGGCGGGAAATTTCAACCCCGCGTCAAGGGGGACCTTCGCTGATCCAGCAATGAGGATCAGCGGCAGAGGTGTGTCATCGAAATCCATCATCACAATCGACTCTGGCCCAAGTGAGCCATTAAAAATACCCTAGTTAATTGATTGCTATAGGGGATTATACTACCTGGTTTACTGGGGATTATGATAACCCGTAGGAATGGGAAACCGTTTTCAACCAACTAGTATAATGAGATGGGATAGGGGTATTTTTAATGGCTCAAGTGCTTAAAAAAGAGGTGTCGGCTTCACAACAGTAGTGATTCACTATGATTCACTAATCTATTGGGGGTATCCACAAAAAAAACTTACCCCAATACAGTGTATATCAGTGAATATCCCCAATAGATTAGTGAATCATAGTGATATACATACTACGATATACGAAGTGGACTATTAATATCATTTACCCCAATACAGTGTTATCATTTACTCCAGTGTATATCCATATATTTACCCCAATAGTGTAATCCCCAATAAAACTATTCCAAGTTGATGCTTACCCTCAGGCCAAGACTTCGAACGACTTCGTTGAGTACCCAACCTTCACCCATTCAATGGTCATTTCAGGAATTGATTGATTGGAGGTACCTACCACATATAAGGCCTATAAAAGGGGATATACCCCTAAAATATGGCCTCAAATATGGTACAGTACCTCCATTTTCGGATCCTGGAATTCTCATTCACCCATCATTCAGAATACACCAACCCTGTGGATTTGCTGTTCAAATGGGAGACCCCAAGTCCATCATCCCAAAATCCGTCATGAATGGGGAAACCATAATAATTGTGGGGTCCGGCATGTTGCGAAATTCCCATGTTTTTTTGGTGTTTACCATCATTGTTTACCAAGAATCATAAGAATCCAGCCATATTTTCGATGGCAATAACCATTGCCAGAGCCAGAGACTTCCATGGCTTTTGTTTAGGAAGCTTCCACGGCTTCCGCCCTTGCTTCATAGTTTGACTCTGATGGGATTCTCGGCTCAACAAGCCAGCTGCCAATTGGGGTTGCAGGGCCCTAGATAGGTAAGTAACCATAAGTTTGACATAATCAACCCAAACCCAAACTTAGGAATTTAAGCACTAATCTTAATAGATGTGATAGGTCTCTGTTGCTTTCTAACATGGCTAGCGATTGGTTTCATGGTGGATATCATTGGATATATCTATAGTTCGGTCCGGGATCTAACAGAATCTACTTTCACTTGGTCAGTGGTTTTGTTGCCATGGCAGCTGCCTCTTGGGACACAGTGCCCCATTCCATGACCATGTTGATGGTAGGTTTGCGGCATCGGTTTGCCCCAATTAAGAGGAAAAAGGATGCAAAAGAGAAGGAAAGAACGAAAGACACACTGATAGAAAGAACAAAGGAAAGGCAGAAAGGAAAGGAAGCAGGAAAGAGAAGGAAACCAATGAGGGAAGGAGGGGAGGAAGGAGAGAAGAAAAAGAATAATCAAATGAAAGAGGATTCAAATGTATTAAAACCCCTTCTTAGATTAAGGAGTTTCCTTTGAAGAAGGAAAACATATGGAAAAAAAACTTAGATTCAAATGAATTGTGAATTGTGGCGTATTCGCAGGATTTTTTATGAATGGTATGAGTTATCTAACATAAACTGGTTGATGGTTTGGAACCATGGACTTTTATATGACTTTCCCATCATATTGGGAATGATTCATCATCCCAACTGACGAAGTCCATATTTTTCAGCGGGGTAGGTTGAAACCACCAGCCAGATATTAGATGGAATTAGTAGATATTAACCATTTATTAAGCACCATTTGAATGGATATCATCATACATTAACAAGCCAGATAAACCTTAGTTGGCCATAGCCAGCCAAGCTGTAAACCGACGTGGCGCCACGTGGCGCCGCCGTTTTCCCCGCACTTAGTTTTCTGAATCCAGTGGACCTGAGTTCCGAGGCCCTCATGGTGTCATGGACGGCCCTTTTTTTGTATGGACTGCCTGGACTCCCAAGAAGATGGAGATGCGCGAAAAGGCAGGAAAGTCGCTAAACACGGTGTTTTTCCAATGATTTGTGGCTCCGGAGGGTCAAAAAGTAGGCTCGCTAAAGCGGCGGGTGCGGAGCCAGCTGGCCAGAGGAGAGATGAAAAATTGCACGCCGTTGTGGCGCGAAGCACATTTCCAAGTCAAAATGTACAAAACACACCACGTTCGGACCACTTTTGGAAGTTGAGATGTTGAAAAAGTGCACACCGTTGTGGCGCGAAGCACATTTCCAAGTCAAAATGCACAAAACACACCAGGTGCGGACCACTTTTGGCACTTAAGATGTCGAAAAAGTGCACGCCGTTGTGGCGCGAAGCACATTTCCAAGTCAAAATGCACAAAACACACCAGGTTCGGACCACTTTTGGAAGTTGAGATGTCGAAAAAGTGCACGCCGTTGTGGCGCGAAGCACATTTCCAAGTCAAAATGCACAAAACACACCAGGTGCGGACCACTTTTGGCACTTGAGATGTCGAAAAAGTGCACGCCGTTGTGGTGCGAAGCACATTTCGAAGTCAAAATGTGAAAAACACCACGTGCTCGGACCACTTTTGGAGGTTCAGATGTCGTTTCGCGTGGCAGGCGCAAGGGATTGTGCACCGTGTCAAAAGTGAGCAAAACGTGAGGGTTTTGTAGCATTTCCAAAAAAAAATGGCAGGCGTGGGACATTTGAAGAGGATCTGCAAAGATGCATTTCGCCTGGCAGGCGCAGTACAAGAGAGATGTTCATCAGAGATGTTAGGAGGTCAGGGTGCTGATTTCCCTAGAGGGGTTGCATTTTGGAGCATCAGATATGTCGATTTCCTAAGATGATTTTGCGTGACAGGTGCAGCACTTCGTATGACCTGGCATCTATTTTTCGTGGCAGGCGCAGTACTTTCGACAGGTGGAGTGGAAAAATCGCACAACGCATTGGTACGAGGCCGTCAGCGCTGCACTCAACTTTCCATTTTTGAAGGAAGTCACGCAGAATTGCTTCGTTTTTGATGTTGTCAAGTTTAAAAATTGAAGAAGTCTCGCAGAATTGCTTCGTTTTGGATGTTCTCAAGTTCAAAAATTGAGGAAGTCTCGCAGAATTGCTTCGATTTGGATGTCGTCAACTTTGAAAAATGAGGAAGTCGCGCATAATTGCTGCGTTTGTGATGTCGTCAACTTTGAAAAATGAAGAAGTCTCGCAGAATAGTTCGGTTTTCAACCTTGCAGATAGACAGGTAGATAGGTAGACAGACAGACAGACAGACAGACCTAGAGATAGATAGATAGATAGATAAGATAAGATAAGATACGATAAGATAAGATAAGATAAGATAGATAGATAAGATAGATAGATAAGATAGATAGATAAGATTAGATAGATAAGATTAGATAGATAAGATTAGATAGATAGGATAGATAGATAGGATAGATAGATAGATAGATTAGATAGATAGGATAGATAGATAGGATAGATAGATAGGATAGATAGATAGGATAGATAGGATAGATAGGATAGATAGGATAGATAGGATAGATAGGATAGATAGGGTAGATAGGATAGATAGGATAGATAGGATAGATAGGATAGATAGGATAGATAGGATAGATAGGATAGATAGGGTAGATAGGGTAGATAGGATAGATAGGATAGATAGGATAGATAGGATAGATAGGATAGATAGGATAGATAGGATAGATAGGATAGATAGGATAGATAGGATAGATAGGATAGATAGGATAGATAGGATAGATAGGATAGATAGGATAGATAGATCGATCGATCGATCGATAAAAAAATGATAAAAAAATGTATGGGCTCCCAAACTTTCCCAATTGTTCACTGAATTTTCATTGCCCACATCTCCATTTTTTTGGGGTGATTAAAGGCGGCTTTATATCAAGCAACCAGGATCTGGCTTCGAGCAGAAATTAGGATCTGGCTACGGTCTGCCGAGTGAACTGCGACATTTGACGCTGCCACCCTCCTTTGATCAGAGTTCGCATGACGTTGTGTGGCCCGGAAAAAACGCTCTCCGGTGATTCAAACTAGCTCGATGGGCCCCCAGTCGAGCTCGCGTTCAGTTGCCGAACAAGAAAGTGGCGAAAAGACGATGGTTTATGGTAGATACAATGAAAAAGCCTAACTAGTTAATGGGGGTTAATTATAATGGTTTATAAACCACCAAACATCACTGGGGAGCCCATCCTGTATAGAAAAGCCCACGGCAAAAAAAAAGTAAATTACTTTACTTCGTGTGATCCCCACCATGACATGTATACATTTTGTTACTGGCAAATCTTCTGGCATTCTACCTGACATTTTATCTGGCATTCTATCTGGTATATCTTCTGGCATTCTATCTGGCATATCTTCTGGCATTCTATCTGGCATATCTTCTGGCATTCCACCTGGCATATCTTCTGGCATATGTTCTGGCATATCTTCTGGCATTCTATCTGGCATATCTTCTGGCATATTATCTGGCAAATCTTCTGGCATTCCACCTGGCATATCTTCTGGCATATGTTCCGGCATATCTTCTGGCATTCTATCTGGCATTCTATCTGGCATATCTCATGGCATTTATCTGGCATATCTTCTGGCATTCTATCTGACACCTATATCTGGCATATCTTCTGGCATTCTATCTGGCCGTTGAGGTCCAGCGGTGCACACTGAGCTGGGCAGGTCCCAGGTTGAGGTCCAGCAGTGCACACTGAGCTTGGGCAGGTCCCAGGTTCAGGTCCAGCGGTGCACACTGAGCTGGGCAGGTCCCAGGTTGAGGTCCAGCGGTGCACACTGAGCTGGGACGGTCCCAGGTTGAGGTCCAGCGGTGCACACTGAGCTGTGAAGTTGGCAAAGAGCTTGGCGAAGAGAGTTGGCAAAGAGCTTGGCGAAGAGTTGGCAAGGCGGAAGTGCAGGTGGAAGTTGATGCAGACATGGTCGAGGAGAAACTGGAGGAGGAGGCGAGGAGGAGGAAGAGGAGGCGCCGGGCAAGCGCTCTGATAAAATCTAACAACCCTCACCTGGCAGGTGGGGAATCATCCATAGATGGATCATGGAAGCCATAGCCCATAGCTATGTTAGATTACCGGATTTGGCAGTTTCAGATGTTGGAATCTACGTTTGATTCCATGATATGGGGATGAGTCGAAACCGATCAAAACCCCACATCAAAATAGCTGGTATGTAAATGGATCTTCATCCCCTTACAAATGGTATCAGAGGTATTGGTGCATTTCCTGACTATATATATATATATATAGATAGATATATATATATATATATAGGGAGTCGAGACGGAACATATGTGGATTTAGCCAACCAACATGGGGATTTCACAAACGAGGGGATATAATGGGGATGTATGGCCATTATATTAACCTGATGTTCGGGTGTGTCTGAAAATGCTGTAGTTATACCACTTAAATCGGATTGAAGTAAAGAGATAAACCAGCAAGTTTCGGGTGTCCTATTTTCAGGCGACCCCAAAATCCAAAATTTGTCATTATCAATCGGAAAACCTACCCCCTTTTAGGAATCCCCATGTGGAAAATGTGATTCGGTGAGTTTTACAGCTTTGATACTGGTTGGTGGTTTGGAACATGAATGGATTATGTCCCCATATATTGGGAATTTCATCACCCCAACGGACTTTCATATTTTTCAGAGGGTAGGTATACCACCAACCAGGATATTAGATGGAATTAGTAGATATTAACCTTTTTTTAAAGCACTATGAATGGATATTATCATACATTAACCACCAAACATACATAAACAATGGATATTGTGGTTTGCTCTGCTCTCTGCACCTCAGTTTGCGGTCACGTCTGACATGGTGAATCTGTTGGGATCCGGCTTGATGTGGGAGAATGATGTCTGTGGAGGTGTCCTAAGTCATACCCTCTCATAAACATACAAAAAGCTATCGAAAATTGCCATTTTTTGTGGATTTACCCATTATATAAAAATGGTGATTTTCCATAGTTATGTTAGTTTACCAGAGGGTAATGCCAAGTGGAGGTTTCCTAAGTCATAGGGCCATTTCACCAAACCCCCAAGTGAGTTATGCTGAATGACGGGCAAATGCAACTTAGGTGGCCGTCGAATCTACTGAGCTTGACGCTGGGAACCAACTTCAACCACAGCCTGCAAGGTGTGAAGTTCCCGGTGACCTTAGAAAGTTTCTCGTCGAATTGCGAGATGTGGAGGTTTCCATGTCGTCATCGGGGTACCCCAAGCGAGCTTAGGATGGTTTATTTCAGGGAAAATCCCATCTATGAATGGATGAGAACTGGGGGTACCCCCTATGACTTAGGAAACCATCATGTGTTTGATACCCTTGATGGTTGATCCCAAAGTCAGCTCCAGTTGCGATCGTGGACTTGTTGCACCATGCATAAAGTTCCACATCTTTGGGTTGGCCCTGATGGTTGTTGACTTCTTGTTGTCGTTGGTGTCGTTGTTGTGTGTTTTTTTTTGCTGTTGTGATTGTGTTACTAGTATGTACTGTTTGTTATGGTTTGTTGTTTGTTGCTTGTTGTTTAGTGTTTCTTTGCCTAAATTTGGATTGGTCTGATGTATTTTCAACTAGATAATCCGGTTCTGACCTGTGTTATTCCCCTGCTTTCAGCTGTCGGCGAAAGCTTGGTTGAGAAAGTTAGTGGTTTTGTGTGTGTTCCTACAAATTGAAGAACATACTATCCATTACTATCCAGATAAGATCTTCTAGGTTGATTACAACAATATTTCACCACAAGGTCAGTAGAAATCTGAACTTATATATATATATATGGAGGTTTCCTGAAATGAGGGTATCCCCAAATCATCCATGTTAGTAGGATTTTCCATTATAAACCATCTATTTTGCGATACCATTCCAGGAAACCCTCATAATAGGCATAGGTAAACCGGGTAAACCTGGATTTGCTGATGATTTTTTCTCCGAATTTCAAATCCACCCATGGGGAATCTATTTTTGGAGGTCCTGCAAAGCAAAACCCAGGACAATCACAAGTTTGTTTCTCAGATTGGTCCATTATTCTGGGGATCGTCCAATAGATGTTCTAACTAATCCCAATATGTGAAAATCAAGGCAGCTGATGTTGACACTCTGTTGCAGCTGTTGCTGTACGCGCCTTTTGTACTGCTGGCACACAAAGGTAGGCTCAAGGCCTTGTTGATCCAAGATGTTGCACATACGTACACTGGCACAACTGATGTTGTGAGAGGGTGTTGATTCTTAACACCGCCCCTCAGATTGATGTTGTTTTCAAACATCACTCTGTTGAAATCCTACCACAAACATGTTGAAATGGAACGACATTATGTTGTTTATATGTTGGGCACTCCAACCTGTACACTTTACACTACCAAGGTGTTGACAGAAGAATGGTGTCTAACGGTGTTAGTATACACACTATCTGTCGGCACTCTCAGTTGTTGGCTTCCCTGTTGCGCTCATCTCTGCTGGCTTAGGGTGTTGAACCCAGGGATGTTGCAGTTTCACCCCAGACTGTTGTTTTGGGTGTCAGTCTCGCCCATCGTTGGATGGTGTTCAATCATCCATCCTTGTTGACTGACAATCCTCCATCTGTTGCTCATCAACGTCATCATGTTGATCTGAATGATATTTGTTGAATGCATCCACAAAGGCATTCATGTTGGTCGAGACGTTGACCCACTCCAGAATGCTCTTGTTGCCCCTGAGGCGTTCTTTGGTCTTGCTGCCATGATAGCGCAGTTGGAATCCATGTTCAAGTAGTGGATGTCGGTCCATCAGGAGCTGTTCAACCCTCTGTTGAACTTCGGTGGGCATTGTTGATAAAACTGATGTTCCGGAATATGGCTGTTTACCAACGCTCGAAACCACGGATTTTGAGTCTCTGTGACCTGCATCACATGAATTGGCATGTTGTAATGCCACAGAAAACCGTTGTCCCAAGATGATAGATTGTTGGCCACTGTTCCCAGAATGTTGCCATCCACATTGATAGTGGCAACTTGCCATAGCTGGAGTGTTGAGGCTTCATCTGTTGACAGGACCAATTTGTATCCTGCTTCAACCTGAAGCTGTGTTGCCATCTTGTAACCTCTGTTGAAGAGATTGTTCACACCGCATCCCCAACGATGATTCTGTTGAATCGTGTTGGGAATGAAACTCACTAGGAAATAGTTTTCCAGTCGTTACTCTGCACGTGCATCTCTGTTGCATGGAAGAACAAAGTAGTAATCGCCGCTGTTGGACTTGGCGAGAAAATAAGTTTGTCCCATGTGGTCCCATGTGCCTCGCATCTGAAGGTCACAAAAGGACATGTTGACATTTTCACTGTTGTCAACAAAAATGTTGACTCCCACGCGGATGGAATTCAAAAACTTCGAATGTTGCCCCAGACGTCCTCAATCATGTTTGGGCCCTATCATGTTGAAGAGGTAAGTGGCAAAACATATCATGTTGATATACCCCATGCTGAAGTATAGTAGATCACTATGAGGTACTTCATGTTGTCAACCTTTGTTGACGCCGTGGCTCAAAAGGAGTGTATGTCTGTGTGTACACGCTACACAGGTTGTTCGCACGGTGTGCACGCGTTCGCACATTAACGCGCTAGCTGCAGTGAAACGGTTGCTTGTTGTTGTTTGAAAGCTTAGTGATGATGGGTGTTGATCCCATCATCAGTGATGTGACGCAGAAGCGTCTCTGTTGCAACGTACTTGGTGAAGATGTCGGCCGGGCTGTTGACGGTGTTGATCTTGACAGTCCTCACAAGGTCATGTGCGACCAGCTGTTGTATAAACAGGTGTTTGAGCTCGATGTGCTTGGCCTTCTTTGATGATCCAATTCTTGTTGCCATGCTCTTCCCGCTTGACGAGTCGGTGTGGATGCAAATGTTGATCTTCTTCATTTTGAGAGGTTCTTTCAGGAGGTTTCTGATGTGTAGGGCTTCTGTTGCTCCTGTGTTGATCGCGTATAGTTCTGCTTCCGCGCTGCTCAGCGCAATTGTTGGCTGTGTTCTGCTGCCGTTGTGGATTGTTGCTCCAAAGACTTTGATCAGAAAGCCTGTTGTCGACTTTCTCGTTGTGGCGCATCCGGCCCAGTCACTGTCGACAAAGACCTGAATGTCTGGTGTTGCTTCAGCTGTTGGTGTTTTGGTTGTTGGTCTCACGTACTGCTTGGAGTGTTGAGTTCCCTTGGTGTACCTGAGTAAGTGTTTCAGTTTCTGTTGGTCTGCTGTTGTTGGCTGTGTCAATGCTCTTGCAAGTTCCTTTGTTGCAAAGCCAATGTCTGGCCTTGTGTATGTCATCCATTGCAGTTTGCCAACCATCCTTCGGTAGGCTGCATGTTCTTCTTTGCTGAGTTCTTGTTCCATCTCTGGAGTTGCTTTCAGAGTGTTGGTGCCTGGTGCTGGTGCTGGATTGCAGTTGAGCATGTTGGCTTCTTCTAACAGCTCTGTTGTGTAGCTGTCTACTAGGCTGATCTCGTATTAGTCACCCTTGTTGCAGATGTTTCTGCCCAAAAAGCTGATGGTGTTGCCGACTGTGAGGTCTCCTGTTGGCCGTAGTAGAAGGTGTTGCTGAATGCTCTTGAACAGCTTGTTGACGGTCTCCTGTTGACCAATGAAAAGGAGGTCGTCCACGTAGCATAGGATTTAGGCGTCTCCTCCAGGTGTTGCGTAGACGTTGGGTTCACTCACAAGACGTCGTAGTCCCAGTTGTTGCATCACCTCTGCTAGGTGATTTTGCCATTAAGCTTTTGGACCGCTGCGTAGTCCGTAGATGGCTTTGTTGAGCCGCCAGACTATCTGGTCGAAGGCGTTGTAGAACTCTGCTGGTGGGTACAGAAAGAGATCTGCTGTTGCTGCTGCGGCATGTAGAAAGGCTGTTGAAATGTCGCCTGGCAGACAAATCCAGCTGTTGCAACGTGCTAGGACCAGTAGCATTCTGAGGACGCAGAAGATCGGTGTTGACGCAAAGATGTCGTCGTTGTCATTGATCTCCTCTGTGTATCCTTTTGCTACTATCCTTGCTCGCACTGTGTTGCCTTTCTGTCGAAGGACCCATCTTGACTTAATGATCTTCTTGCGTTGTTCCGGGCCGAGTTGACTGCTGTGTACTTCTGTGTATACACCTTGTTCCTTCATTGATTTGATTTCTTGTGTCATTCCTTCTATTGTTTGTTCTTTGTCGCAAGGTTCCAGGAGAATCTTCTCTGTCTTGATCTCCTGCTCATCTTCGTTGGATGTTGCTTCTATCTTTTGTCCTTTCTTTGTCGTGACTGTGACTTCTGATATCCTCATTCTTGTTGCCGGTGGCGCCTGAACTGTTTCAGGTCTGCTGGCTGCTGTTGCTCTTGCTGTTGTTCTTGCTTGCTTTGGTGAGCTGCCTTGTGCTATCTCGTCTGTTACTTCTCGCTTGCCAGGTGTTGGCATTGGAAGTGGTTGCTTTGCTTGCTGAGTTGCTGGCACTGTTGCCATTGGAAGGTCTGTAAGTGCTAGTGGTGGTGTATTGTGCGGTTGTCCTGTGACTGTTGGCTGTGGACTCTGCTGAGTCTCAGTGCTTGTTGTTGCCTGCTGCTTCCTTGCAGCAGGTTGTGGTAGTACCACAATGCTTGGTGCTGTTGCTGTTATCATGGCTGGTGAAGAGTTGATGATGTCCATCAACTGTTTGTTGTACTTGTCTGGTTTGATTTGTCTTCGAATAGTCCTTGCTTTGACCACCTTGTTGCTGATGCCAAGGATGCTCTCGTTTGTTGAGGTGTCCTTACCCAACCAGATGGCTGGATAGGATAGAACCTTGCTTCCATCTTTGGCATGTGTTTTGCTGTTGGTAGCATGTAAAGAACTTTTTCACCAAACTCACAAATGGGTGTTTGTGTTTTTTGCCCCATCGTCTGTAGTAGCTTGTGTTTCCATCTGAGTGTGTGGAATATCTGTTGAGAAGGTATGCTGAATGCTTCACAAGCCACGGCATGATGGGATGCTTGCTGTTGAGTTTGATGCCATATTTGTTCTCCAGTTGGAGTTTGATGGCCCTGACTTGGCCCATCAGTGTTCTGTGGAATCTTTCCACTCTGCCTTGTGCTTGTGACGTGTAGGCAGGTGATTTTGTCTCACTGCTATGTTGCCGCCCATTGCTGTTGCCATCATCTTGATCAAGGAGATGATGAAGTCTTCCTGGTCTGATTGTAGGACAGTGTTGTTAAGAATTGCATGTGTTCTGCCACATTCCATGAGGAATTGTTGTAGGCAGGTTGACAGGTATTGCACGTGTCGGGTCTTGTCTTCCAGTTGAACTGCCATGCAAATACCTGTTTCAACGTCCACTGCTGTGAGGACTGATGTTGTTTGTTTCTCTTTTAATGCGTTGTAGTACATCAGATCCACTTGGATCACTGGTGTTTTGCTTGTTTGTTTTGGGTGATAGTCTTGTCTTCCTTTGCTTTGTACGCATGTTGGACACCAGCTTCTGTATGGAAGGTGTGTCAGTTCATGTTCTCTTCGTTCTTGTTCTGTTGATTGTTGTGGTGTTGGTGCTCCTGTTGCTCTCTTTGCTTCTTGTCGCTCCTCTGGATCATCTGTGATGAACTCATCTTTGTATGCTGTGTTTTCCTCAAAGTTTGTTGAACCTGTCCACTCTATGTCGAGTGTTGCTTTCCTCTTTATTGTCCGGCCATCGTCAATTCTGTATCCTCGATTGCCACTTGTTGGCTTCACCATCGTTTGTCTCCAAGTTGTCAGCTTTGTCACGTCTGGTCCATCATCTGTTTGTTGTGGTATGTGCATGTCCCTTCTTGGTTGGACATGCACACATTTCCAGTATGGACCATCTTTGATCCAATAGTCCTGTGTTGGACTGACTTCTTTTGGATGTGGTATTGCTGTTTGGTGTGTCGGTGTTGAGGTCATTGCTTGACCTGTTGGTCTCACCTCAGTGAGAGGCTTCTTCACGTTGTGTCGATACAGTGGTGCTTGTGTTTCATCGGCTGTAAGTTGTCGAGATGTTGCTGGTGTTGGCCCTCTGGCTGGTGGAAGTGCTGGTTGTGGTGGTATGTTGCCTGGAAGGGGCGTTCCCCTTTTCACTTTGAACCATGTTTCTTCCATCCAGTTGTGTCCTTGGATGACTCTTTTCTGTTGCTTCTTGTCGAGGTCTTGATATGCTTCTTCAATGACCTCTGTGTTGTTTTTTGGTCGTTGTGTGACTGTCCTGCTGTAGTTCTCCAATCTTTCTGTTGGAACTGGACATCTGCTGTCTGGCATGAAAAGTGCCTTGCGTTCTGTTCTGTGGACTCTTACCAGGAAACCCTGGCTGTTGAATGTCCACAGATCGTTCTTGTTTCGAAGGGTCTCCATGCCTGTTGGTGTGAGTGTGACTGGTGCCACTCTTGCTGTTGTTCCTTCTGCTGTTTGATTGACCTCAAGCCTCATGTTGATTGGCAGTACTACCAGTGTAACTGTTAGAAAGTAGAGGCCTTCACGTTGCTTCAGTGTTGAGTTGAATCCCTTGCTGTGCGTGATTGCTGGTGTCTCGTTGAGCTGTGTGTTGAACCCTTGTTCTGCCAGTCTTGTTACTGACATGATGGGTTGTGTTACATCACACACGTAGAAGGGAACAACCAGTGTTTGTTGGTCTTATGCATGAACACCCATTTGTAGCCATGCACTGGGGTGTCCACATCTGTTGCTGTCCTGAGTTTCGGACCTTGTCCATGTTGTGATGGATACAATGGTGTGTCTGGTGCAAACCATGTTGGACAAACATGTGTTGCTGCACCGCTGTCGATCATGATCTCTGCCTCTGTGTCTCCTCTTTGTTGTTGAACTGCTTGCATAGTTGCTGTTGCTGCCTTGTGGGCACTCCCTGCCTGATGGCCCAGTGTTGCCACAAAGTGGATTGATGGTGTTTGATTGTCTGTACGTGGTGCTGGTAAAGCTAGTTGTTGCTGAACTGGATGAGTGTTGTAGTTGCCTGATTGGTCGTTGCTGTACCAATAGTTGTCGTACCCCTTGTTTGGGTCATACCATTGTGCTTTTCCATCTTGGTCTTGTTCCTGTGGTGTCTCTGACATGTTGTACACCGCTGTTCGGCAATCCTTTGCCATGTGGCCTGGTTGGCCACATCTGTAGCACACTGCTGTTGGATTCTTCCCTTTTCCTTTGTTGGGCATTCCTTTTGCCTTTCCTTTGTTACCTTTGTCTCCTCCTTTCGGTTGGTACCATGGCTGCTGTTTTCCTTTGGCCTTTCCTAGCCTTTTCCGTGTTGGTATCCTTTTCCTTTGCTGCCCTTGCCATATCCTTTTCCTTTGCTCTTTTCTTTTCCTTTTCCTTTGCCTTTGTATGTTGCCCCAATGTCCATTGGAGCTGGGCCTCCTCCAAGGCTTGTGCTGACGGCTGAGGACGAGTGTTGTTGGAGTCTTGAGAACGCCGTTGTGGTCCTTTAATACTCCATGATTGTTGTCCTCACTTCTGCATATGTGGGTGTTGCGCTTGTGTTGAGATGTAAATGTTGTTGAAGTGTTCCTGTTGTCGCATTCATGAGAACAGCTATTTTCACTTGGTCTGGAAGTTGTGCATTGTTGTCACGCTCATAGCGTGCCAGCTCAAATTCCCATGTTGAGAAGGACTCTTCAAAGTTGTTGTTGTCAAATTTAGGTTTGAGGAGTCGTGTGAGGTAGCCTATGCTTCTTGTTCCAACAGGTATTGCAAACCTGTTGCAAAGTTGCCTGTAGACTTCTAGGCCCATGGCGTCTTGGTGTTGTCTGCAAACTGTTGCTGCTGCGCCGCTGGTGATTTTGATGAGGATGTATTTGAGGTTGTTACATAGTTGTGTCCATTTCTCTCCTTCTTCAAGTGTTGTTGCTGCACCAAGCAGCTCTGCGTTTCTTGATAGCAGTTGTGGAAAGATGTTGTCCTGTAGGCCCATGTATGCTGAGAACTTATACTTCCATTCCTCAAATGTTGCATAGCTTCCATCGTATGTTGGAGGTCTTAATCTCAGCTTGTGTGTTGATGCTAGGGCGTCCACTTCTGATGCTCCTGTTGTTGGTGATCCTATGTCATGTGCGGTTGTCATCCTTGTCGTCGAGAGTCCCCCACGCTATGTTTGGCTGGGATGCCCTCTTCCTTTGCGCTTGTTGTTTGAGTGTTTGTTTGTAGGGCTGCTACCCAGTGTTGCTCCTGCTGTAGTTGTTGGAGCTCACCTGGATTCTTCCAGGATCACTGCTCCGCTACCATGTGAAAATCAAGGCAGCTGATGTTGACACTCCGTTGCAGCTGTTGCTGTACGCGCCTTTTGTACTGTTGGCACACAAAGGTAGGCTCAAGGCCTTGTTGATCCAAGATGTTGCACATACGTACACTGGCACAACTGATGTTGTGAGAGGGTGTTGATTCATTAACACTATATATATATACATATGTGTACTATATTATGTTTATTATATATATACATCTATTTTTTGTTTTTATATATTTGTATTATATTATGTTTATATATACATTATATATTTTTCCCATCATATCATATCAAATCGCCGTGACCAATCAGAATTCCCAGCGACTATCCTTTAAACATGGAGACGCCTTCCATCAGCTTGGAGAACTACAGCCACAGCCAGATTTTCGTTTGGAAATTGAGTTCCAAGGGACTGTTTGGCATATTTTCGGCACGTCGGCCAGCATGTTTTGGTTCATGGATTGTCTGAAAATTTGGGGAAAACCTTCAAATCCCTCGGTTAATCAGTTTACCTTGAAATTCTCATGTTGGGGTGCATATTTGGACAAACCCACATGATAATTTTCGTACTTTTGTGACATGTCATGTTTTTTTTGGCCGGCTCCATTGCCAGGTTTGAGTTTCGGCTGGTGCTTTTCCCAGAGTTTGAAGCCGGTCTATGAGCGTTTGCCAAACCTCAAACGCTTACGCCTGGATTCCTTCAGGTCGATGAATGCGCTGAAGCATTTCAGTCGATTCTTGAATTGTCTGAAAATGTTTTTTTACGTTTGTTTTAACTTTTACCGGGGAATCCCATTAGAAATGGGGTTTCCTAAGTTAGAGACATAGGGGTACCTCTAGTTCTCATCCATTTATAGATGGATTTTCCCTGAAAAAAACCATCCAGCGAGCTTGGGGTACCCCCATGACTATGGAAACCCCCAAATAGTGAATCAATGGAGAAAGTAAGTTTTTGTCGGCGGAAAAATTGCAAACTCCGAGGATTGGAGCAACTGAACATGTACAGTCCGCGCTGTGAGGAGTTAACGATGCTGCCAAGCTCTCTGAGAAGTTTGACGATCAGAGGTGATTTGGGGCTTTCAAAATGGGGGTACCCCAAGCTCGCTGGATGGTTTATTTCATGGAAAATCGGAAAGCCCATCTATCAATGGATGATTTGGGGGTACCCCCATTTTAGGAAACCTCCAATTGCAGGCAATTACGCAGGACCCAGGGGAAATTTGTATGGGGATTTGATGGTGACTTCGCCTGAATTGAATTAGTGACTCATCCAGGTAATATGAAATACCACTATAAATGGGTGCCCAATTGGATAGATACAAGACTGAGGAAAGGTGTTGATATCAGGGGAAATAGATGGATTTTGGTAAATTAAGCCCAGTCTTCTAAGGATTAATTATGAACCAAGTAAGGGATGTTGACAAATTGTACACAGGGCATTGTCTGGAATTTCCATGTTGTTTCTATCCCCATCTTAAAAATGAGCCCAAAAGATTTTCCATGCTAGGAGGCTCGCAGGTTCGCCACAGTCTTCCGAAGATCCTCGTGTTTGGGTAGTTGGATGTTTTTTAATACTATCCAGTGATTAGGAGGGAGCTAAGGAGCTAGGGGTATTCATATTCCCTATATATTCCCTATTCGATGGGGAGCCAAGGAGCTACTTAGAGTTTCCCAACCATCAAATGGGTTGATTTCCAGTTCCCAGCCTGCCAGGTTGCCAAGACTTCCAGTCCGAGTCTCTACAAGCGCTGATCAAATTGGAGACGCTGAAGATTTTGGGTTCTTTGGAAAGGAATTGAAAGGAATTGGGTTCTTTGGAAAGGAATATATATATATATATATCTGGTTAATGATGGTTAATGATGGTTAATGATGGTTAATGATGCTTAATGATGCTTAATGATGCTATATCATAGGGATGTCACCAATAATATATATCGTTGGTGGTTTGGAACATGACTTTTATGACTTGCTATATATTGGGAACAATAATCCCATTTGACTTTCATATTTTTCAGAAGGGTAGGTATACCACCAACCAGAAGGAGTGCAGTGGAAATATCACCCATGACGGATCCATGGCATGATGGTGCTGCTATGTATGGTGCTCCATGGATCCCATCAACAAAAACCCCAGTCATGTTAGCATATGTACCAGCACCAGCCGGATCCGTCATGGGTAATGATGAATACTGAGGTTTCATGGGATTCACTTGGGGTGCTTGCAGCTCCACCAATGGATGTGTTTCTTGCAGTTCACCGTACTTGTAGGCATATTTCATGCCCAAATTATGGAGCTTAGAATTCCATAGCTGGCTGGTGGTTTGGAACATGTCTTTTATGACTTTCCCATCATATTGGGAATGTCAATTTTCCCAACTGACGAACTCCATCATTTTTCAGAGGGGTAGGTGGCTCAACCACCAACCACATTATGATTAACCATCATTAACCATGTAGTTATTAAGCATATATTAACAGTATATTAACCAACCAATGGTAGGTGGCTCAACCACCAACCAGAATAGTTATATCCACCAGAATCATCCATGGCCATCCCCACGTTCTTGGGGCCTCAAGTCGACCATCTTTCTCGATGGCTTGCCAGACACAAATTCAAATGGGAAACATCATGGATTGTCTCACGATTTTCCCGCTATTTTCGACCCAAAAGTAACCCAAAAAAGAAGGGTTGATAGTGGTTTATAATCTTTTCACAAGTCCTTATTTGAAGACTTTGAGAAAAGCAGTTGGTTGATAAGTAGCTCGGGGGTCGTATTATATACCGTTCAAAAATGTTCAAAATACAAAGGGATTGTCATGAACCATGAGCTGGGAATCTACATTAGAACCAACAATTGCATGTCGGAGATTTTAACTTGGAATTCTCGGGAATAACTCCCAGAAATTCCGAGATTAATTCACTATTTGGGCGATCTTCCAATAGATGCTCTAATGAATCCCATGAAATATCCCAGTCTATATATGTCTATATCCCATTATCTGATGATATCATAGATCATATATCATACACCATTATCACATATCACATATCATATCTCTATCACATCATCATATCGTTGGCTGCAAAAACCCTCTGGTAATCAAACATGGCTCTTTTCAGAATCCCGTATAAACTGCGGTTTTGAGTGGGGATTTTCCAGCCGTTTTTACACATAACATGGCTAAGCCCCCAAGGTTTTAGGTCAACTCCCATCGTTAGCCGTGGAAAAAAAACACAACTTACCTACGGAATCCCTGTTAACCTTATATCCTACTTGGTGGCTCATCCCACTTAGTAACTGGGTTATAACCCCAGTTATAAATGGGATAAGTAGGGTTAATCCACTTCAATCACCGGGGTTATAACACACTTACGAGCCGTGGGATGAGCCACCAAGTAGGGATGTTCCACACAAATACTCATCAAAATCCCATGAACTCCGGTGGAGATCCACCAAGGTAAGGACTGTATAGCCAATACAATGGTCGTTCACGAGCTCGTGAAGTGGCCGGAAAGCTTGCGAAGTATGAGCTCTGGCGAAATCTGGGCCGCAGCGCGGGCATGAAATATGGATAAATATGGCATATTTCACTAGGATATGACTATAAGGACTATAAGGATATCATAATTATATCCATTATATATCATATGGGATATCCCCACTATTTATGATAGAACATGATATAGCTAAGGATTAATCTGGGCAAATTTCATCACGAACCCCGAATGCAACTGCACCCACTAAATTTAACATGTACCCCAAGCATGGCCAATATCAATTATCCGACAGTCATCAAGTAGACTATGGATTGGGGTCAATGGGATTTAATATGATGAACTAATTAACCTATATATTTTTTCTCATCTATAAATCCCATAAATATCTAAATCCTGTGGCCATTGGGGTTCTATGCTATTTCTTTTGGTGTTGCTATGGCGATTGCCGTGGTCGACTAGCTTCGATCACCATTGGCACCTAGGACTTTAGACTTCGACCTAAAGAGCTCTGATATGCAACTTCCTTCAGCACTGGAAGAACTGAACTTCAAGTCTGGCACGATTTGGAACTTGCATCTGGGCAACTTAAAACAAACCGTGGGCTTTACCATGGTTTTACCATTTTTGTATTTTTTCACAAGATATGGAAGACCCGGCGTTTGTGGATCCTAAAATCTTGGTGGGGAAGGCTCGGCGTTTCCGCAGGCTATCTGAGAATCTTTCTGAATACCCGAGAGAATCACTACGACCGACCCCTGGAAATCATGGTTAGATTGCGGGGAATCATCCCCAAATGGCCCAACTATTCAGGTTAGTGAAATATTAGGTGCCGAAGATCAATGGCCATTCCAGGATCCTAAAATGGATGTTGTTACTTTCTGTGCCATAAGTGGAACATAGTGGAACTATCTGCAAGGGCCTATCACAGATTGGAATGTTGAATTTGGCGGATTAGAATGGGATTAAGAATCTTTGTTTGATGGGATTTAAGCATGTTTCAAGGGAGTTTTGCTTAAGGGGAGTTTTGCAGGAAACCCTTTAGAGGAGGAAAAGATAACCATGTTTCCTGATGTGTTTCCTACAACTCAATCCAATGACCACATGAATTACCAAGAACATTAATATTGTGAGTCCTCAGGATGCCCTTCTGTTTTGACTAACACTTCGAAGTGGAAAACCCTACCATGAAAGTCGATCATGTTCCGGGAAACCACAAACTCTCCTATGTTTACCCCATGGCTACGAGATAACAGTTCGATATGACATCAGGTAACATCCTGCAGAAAATCGCAGACCCCAGGCAGTTTCCTCCAAGTTTGGTGAGCTTGGATTTGGGTGAGCTGTTCTATCCCAATCTTCATGAGCTCTGCGGCTTGCCGAAGTTTCGCTCAGGGAGAAAGGTTTTCCCAGTTGTTGAGTTTTTGTTGGGGGAATGTTGGGAAAACAAATCACTGTGATGTTTGTTTGGGAAATCATTGGGAATAGATGGGGAGAAGTTGGTCAACAAGTTAGTCTGTAATTGGGAGTGGGAAAGCATGGGAAATTGTTGGAGAAAAGTTGGGCAACAAGTTAGCAATCAACTGGAACACAATGGAGACATACTGCAAATATACAGTGAATATAGTAAAAACATAATGGAGATATGATAGGAGACAATTTGCTATAAAGGAATGCGGTGAAAAATGCGGTATGGCTATGGACCCACCGAAGGTCTGATAGATGGTGATTTTGTTTTTTCACATCGTTTGAACATCACTTTGTTGTGGCGCCGATTACCTTCTGGTAAACATACAAAAAAACTAAGGAAAATCACAATTTTTCATGCGAAAATTCACTATAAATGGTGATGTTCCATAGTATTTGTATGTTTACCAGAGGGTAGGTTTCGTTTTGAATCCACCAGCTATGTAGATTGATAGGGCATCGCTATAGGTAAATCTCCACAGGGGATTGTGTTTCATGTTCTACCCTCAACTAACAGTTTGCTATGGTCAATATGACCCATTTATAGACTTGTTTACTTACCAAAATGGTGATGTTCCATAGTTAATCTAGTTTAATGGAGGCCAAGCCCTGCTCCTGTGTGTATGAGTGGAGCTTTGTTGTTTTTTTCAAACGAGCAGATTTGGGCCAGTGTTCCATAGCGTCCCCAAATGGACCCAGATTATCTGGATTGGTGGATATTGGTGGTATTATATAAATATGTGTTGTTTTTCATCCTACGAATGGCATGATGGGCCCATTTGACTACTTGGATCTAATTCATATCTTTCAAGGGCTTTTTTCTCAACCACCAAGCAGATATTCAGATTTAGGGATGACAGAGGGTTTTGAACATTGCTCAACTACTGATAGGCACACTCACGATTCATAGATGATTTTCCCGTAAAAATCCCCGCGTAGGACACCTACGGTTCTCCAAAAAAAAGTCCATCAAAAAAATCCCATTCATCTATTCACCTTGAGGGCTTTCCTGGTTGCTGGTTTGGAACATGACTTAAATATTTTCCATTTCATATATGGGATGTCATCCGAAACCCATTGACTAATACAGTATTTTCAAGATGGGCACATTGCACCACCAAGCAGTATAACTTTGGAAAATCACCATTTTTAACAGGTAAATCCACTATTTCTATCACCATTTTCAAGTTCGCAAACTGTTAGTTTTCCCTTTTTTTCTTGTCGAATCCCTTGAGAGATCTCAGAGATCTGAGGTCAGTTGCCAAATCTCCAGCATCTCAAGCTAGGCCGCTGTGCAAAGATCGTCTTCCCCCTACCTGCGACCCTGCGATCGCTACATCTGCGTGACTCCCAGGGCCCACAGCCGACGGCCATGCCGTTGCCAGAGCTGGAAGAATTGGACTTGGGAAACTCGGACGACTGGATGAACCTAAGAACTACCATCTGGTTATGACTAACATAGCCATGTTAAATCACCATGCTATTAAGTTCGGTAAACCATCTATTTCTATGGGCCATCTATCCCATGGCTATGTTAGTCATAACCAGAGGGTAGTGGAACATGAACGACGTTCACCATGGTGATTTCAGGACGTTCACCATGGTGATTTTTGAGTAACGAAATGTCGATTGAATGACGAAAATAAATGTGGATTTCATATAAAATCCTGTGGATTATGGTGAAATATGGATTAATGTGGATTTAATATAAATTATGATGAAACAGAAAATTATGTGCGGATTTGATTGACATCAGAAATGGGCATCACAAATGGACAATTCATGGGGATTTTCAATGAGATTTTAGAGGCATAGAATAATATATTATACAACCAACAATTAAGGAGCATAGACGTGTCCAAAAATAGGAGTTTACCAATTTTATGGCTATGTTTGATAGGGGAATTTGATCGACCAATGGAGTTGGTCAAACCATGTGTTTTTCCACAGGAATGGCGGAATGAACATCCACAACAGCCACCTGGGTTTTGATGTTTAAGGAACTGTGGCTTTTGAATGGTCGCCAGATCGTGATTTTGACCAGTGGTAAAATGTCCGACGATTTGTGTTTGTCAAGACCCCCTTCTGTTGATTTACCGACAGATACGATGAATTTGGCCAACAAATGTGGAAACAACAACGCCCAGACCTTAGGATAAATACAGCCAGTGGCCGGATTTTTGCCGGATAAACACATGGAATATGGGATTCTTCAACATCACTTTGGTTTTAGGCAACATCAGGCACAGAATTCCATGTTTAAATTTCCTCTAGGGATTGGTCAAGAAGACTGGATGGGTGTAGAAACTCATCCTGAATAGTCGTCTTGGTATCAATGGGATTATTTAATTACTAACATAACTAGTTCACTCACCAGCTAAGAATTGGTCATGAATTTTGCAAGCTATCTGGCTGGCCAGCCATGTTTCATGGCTATTTAAATTGGGGTACCCAATTTGACCCCATTTTTCCAACTCATCTGTGGAACAACAAGCCACCGCGAAAAAGGGATGACTGGACGATCCAGTTTTGCCCTGGCTTTTCCAGGGCAACCATTTCTCTCTATTTCTCTTGTAGCGATTCTTGGGAAACCTCAGAAAAAACATTTAAAAAAACCATCTCATGGTTGAGAAAGACAAGATGTTCCCTATAATTTTTGTGTTCCATTTGTTATGGCCATCAATTGGTAAATATGGTATATCCCGGTGCAAAAGCCACAGCTGCCACAGCTCTTCGCCAGTGTTGCTCAGCAGCCCTTCTTGAGGTGACCGTTTCAATTCTCCGGTCTTTTTCCCACTGCCTGCGAAGCTCAAGAGCTTGAGATTTGGCAAAAGATTTAACCACTCCTTGGCCAACATCAAGTTCCCAGAGACGCTGGAGACGTTGAGCTTTGGAGCGGCATTTACTCAGCACATCCTTTTGCCGCCCAAGTTGCAGAAGTTAGAGTTCAGAGGTAGCTTCAAGTTGGATGGGGTGAAACTACCTCAAAGCTTGCGCAGCCTCAAAATCGGCCTTGAAAGCCTTGAAAGCCTTGAGAGTCCCACTGCTTTGGACTCTCTAAAATTGGATGAGTTGGAATATTTGGATGAGTTCATGTGCCAGGGTCTTACTGTGGGTTGCAACAATGTTGCGCCGCTTGCGGGCTGGTAGCCATTGGATGCGGTGAAAAAGGGAGCGGAAGACTTGAAGATCTTTAATGATGAGCACCAAACATGACCAACTATGATATAGATATGTGGGTATGGATCAATACCTATTAATACCATTTTTAGTGGGATGAACATCCATTTACCAGCTATTTTGATGTTCACTAGGTGCCAGGGTTTTGACCCATCCCCATGTAGGTATATATATGTATAGTATATACACACATGTAAGATATTGTGGTAAACCCAATGCCATAATCATACCATGACTGGGGATGGTTTACAGCATCCATAAAAATGGTGATGACTTGGGGATAGTTTCTGAAATTGGATTTACGACACTAATATATATAACATAACACATATATTAGAAGGATGTTTGCATGAATATGATATATATAATATGATATAGGATATCTACACATTAGTCATAAACCACTACACAATAATGTACCTCCAGATTAAGATATGAATATCGAGAGGATCATACTCAGGCCGAATGAATTGGATACACCATTAGTTATCATCACTTTTCCCTATCTCCCTATGAAACGCCTATTGTTTATGGCTTTACCGGTATATTTTCAGACACATAGAGAAAAAAGGTCTGCTTCATTTCCCGTGAAAGCCGGCCACGTCGATGAAGGCACCACTTTTTGGAACTAGGGCCTGTGTTTTCCGATAACGATTCCAAGCTGGTCTTAATTCAAATTAATTTGAGTGAAATATTCAAAAACCTAGACATATATATATATATACACATACATATAGCTGTATATATATATATATAGCTGTACATATATGTTCATATATATATACATATATTCATAGCTGTACATATATATATATATATATTTACATATTTATATATATATATATCTATTCCATGGAATATCCCATTGTATATTCCATGGAATTTGATCTGACCCATACCATTGAGGTTGGGAGACCACCTGTTTCTCGGCACAAGAGCGGGTGTTAGGACGGAGCAACATCAGTACTTTAGATGTATGATGATGTATGATTATATCTGGGTAAATTATATTAAATTAAGGGAAATCACCCCCAAATGGCATCATTTGATCAAATGGCCTTATTTCAGGTTTGTGAAATATCATGATTTACCTAGATTATATGTATGATTATATGTATGATTGCAAAAAAAACAAATAAAAACATCTATTTCGTTGATCAACTTTAGATCTATGCTCTTCACCAAAAAAATGATGATATGTAGAGATAATGTTAATGTTATGTCATAGGTAAATTATGATCCCCCAGCCAATTGGGACACCTAGGTGCTGTATAAAATGGGTCCCCTATAAAATTGGAACACCTTGCCGGTTAAATGGGGACCCATTTTTTAGAGCATTGACTATATCAAATATAGGGTGTTCCAATTCAATGTAGTCATGACCTATTCAATGTATTAAATGGGTGTATTGGCAAGGGGATAAATTGAATGTATACATTGAATTGGTCATTCAACTATATCAAAGCACGAGTTTCCGGGCTTCGACCACAGAACGAGGCCAACCAGTATCAATGTAGGCCATATATGGGGAGATCTCCCTAGCCGCTAGGATGCATGGTCAAACAGGAATTTACCGATTTACCGCAGTAAAAACATGGGTTCAATTGATACATGTGTATATATATGTATATATATATGTATATATATATATGTATATATGTATATATATATGTATATATATATGTATATATATACATATGTATATATTTATATTTATGTATATATATATATATATGTATACATATATATGTATATACATATATATATATATGTAGTATAAGGATATATTCATATATACATAGATATTTTATGAGATGGTTTGACAAGATTCGATGGTTATTGGTGTAAAGTTTTATGAAGTAAATTAACCCCATACTGGATACTGCAGCATGGTCGTTCCCAATTGATGGGGGTTACTGTATGGTACTCATCAATTGGGGAATTCCTAGTGATGCTAGGATGACCGTAACTCATACAACCATGTTTGACTATGACAAATGTACATATATCACAGGTTGTCTCCAACTCGCCAATTAATTTGTCTACCTTGAGTAATCATCCCAGAAAAGTGTGCTGTTTCTATTCCATGTTTAGTTCCTCTAGGCCAACTTTTCTAGATCAAAATCATATCGTTTGGGTATGGCGCCATGGCTCAAAATCTTTTGCCCGAAGAAATCAATGGATTAGTCGGAAAAATGGCCAGTCCTTTAATTATTTTAGGATACCACATTTGCCAAGTGCATTTTAAGCCATGGCATTTGGATAATATTCAAATTCCAATGGAAACATCACCTATGATTCCTACGCAAAAATCATTTGCCAAGTGCATCTCATTTGGATGATTTCAGATTGCAACGAGGCCCTTTTTGTTGGTTCAAACGTATTGATCTGCTTACTGGTGCTAAACATATAGGGTTTCTGGGGGAATTATCTAATTCTATCATTATATCTAATTAGATCCCTATGAAGCACAATTAGATCATTCCCCCAGAAATCCAAAATATATCTAGATTTAGATTGTAAAAAAATATCTAGATCTATCTAATTACATATTGACGAAGTCATATTTTTCAAGATGGCCATTGCACCAGCAACCAGATTCGCCATGCAAAAGCTGCGCAAGGTGAGTTGCTCTGCAGCATGATCTCCAAAGAGATTGATCCAGGCGATTTGTCCAATGGAGAATTCATAGCCGCCTAAGTGAAACATAGTGATTATCATGGTTGGATTTCCTGGTTCATCATAGGTAATCATAGGTAGTCATAGGTAATCATAGTTCATCATAGTTGCTCATAGTTGCTTTCATTGACTGTGTTAATCATTGTTAATCATAGTGATTATCAATGTGGTTAATCAAAACAGTGTTAATCGTAGCCTTGAATGAATCATAGTTAATCATGGTTCATCATAGTTAATCAATAGGGCTGTGTCTGAAAATTGAGTAGACCCTCTAAAACACAATTTGTTCACGGGGATAGTGAAAAAATCCTTTGGAATTGGATGATCATCATCCATGGTCCATGAACTGGGAATCTCCATTAAAGAACCAGCATAAAAGGGATTACATTTCGGATGAAAAGTGCTGAAATGGGGATTTGGTCTGAGAGAGTACCCCCAACAGTTGGGGATATAGAAACCATATAGAAAAACAGGGATCAAATGGGGATAGAACCAGCTGTACGCGGTTTGTATCTCACTTTCAGCTCCTAAAAGCTGGGATATTTTAATTAGTCAATGGCAAGTTACTTACAGCTTCCAAACCATAGCAATTCATAACAATTCCAGTTAAAAATCCATGGCTAGTTCTACGTTACTTGGAAGTCTTATATACAATTCAGCTGAAAGTTCAGTAACTGCAGCTTGAACACTTCCCAGCTCACTTTGCGGTTGGGCAATGACCATTGGCATACCCTCTGGTAAACTAACATAACTATGGAAAAACACCATGCTATCAATGGGTAAATCCACTATAAATTATAAATGACCATTTTCAATAGCTATGTTTACCAGATGGTATATCACTAAATCCCATTAAATCTCATTAAATCCCATTAAATCCCATTAAACCCCCATTAAACCTCCATTAAACCAGGGTAACCCAATCACAAATGGGAAAGGACTTCTGTACCAGGTGTACCATCAGCAGCGATGATTCTGATGCAAAGATGGGCCCACTGAGAAGCATATCTGGCTGAGCCTAGTTATGGTAGTTGGAACCCCAGGTATATGGGTGTTAATGCTAGATATGGGGTTAATAACTAGGTATCCCCATATATTTATGGTGTAATTAATATATGGTGTACATATATATGGTGTAATTTGGAAACATATCCATATATAACGAGCGGTATCCCAATATGTTTCCAAATTAGGTGTGGATTTCATGGGGATTTCATCGGATGAGTAAAAAGCTCACTTCGCCGACTTCTCCCAGATCTTCAGTCGCTTCAGTGCCAAGTATGGTGACTGAAAATTTCCCGCTAGAAGATCACTTTGGTTGGTCAGACTAGTAAGAGCTTGCTACTTTGTACGGCGTACGGGAAGTGGTGTGGTAAATGATATTCTTCTGAAGAGGACATCATTGGTCCAACATGGTTTGAGCTGGAAATTCTGGAAAGACGAAATAGAACAATGTACCCTCGGGTGAACTAACATAGATGTGGTTCCATTCACCACCATGAATGTAGATCATGTCTCTTGGGAAGCTGTGAAGGTTTTCCACATGTAAACGTGAAACCCCCTGGGGCTTCAAAATAGACTACTGCAGTTTCTTTTTGGAAAGGTGATCTTTTTCATTGGTCGGCTTACCAGAGGCTGCCAATGGCTTCCATCTCCGACAGAAAAAAAAACTGAGTATTTCAGGACCGAGGACTGAACAAAAAAGAAACCAACAAAGGGACTTGTTTTCTTTTTCGTGTTATGCTATATTCATATGGAGGTTTCCTTAAATAGGGGTACCCCTACTTATCATCCATGAAAAATAGGATTTTCCATGAAATAAACCATCCAGCGAGCTTGGTGTACTTACGGAAACCTCCATATGATATTACTGTATCATATGATATGATTTGTGATGTCTGAATTTTGGAGCAAAAACTGCAGCCGGCCCATGATGGCCATGGCCTATGAATCGCCAGATCTCTACAGCATCAACAACATGATCGGAGCCTTAGCGAATACCCCGAAATGGAAAGAGGCCGTGGCCGCGTCGCGTCGCTGGTGAGCCATGAAGAAAACACCACCGCCAGAAAAATCCTTGGTTGTTTGGTGAATTTGTTGGGACATGTTGATATGTTGTGACTTTATCGATTTTTTTGGGAATTATGATAATCTATTTGACATTTCCAGACAAGATATGTCAGATTGAAGCTCTCGGATACAGATTCAGAGGCTGATTTGATTGTTTGCTAAGTTGCTGCAATTCTGGGATACCTGGGTTTTTTCGAATGTCAGGGGCGTACTTTGTCTCAAGAGAACCCGTGGATTTACATATGGGTGTGATGAAAATGTCAGAATCTTCTCAGGGAAACCTATAGTTACCACTCAAAAGATAGAACGGCCATATTTTGGTGGTTCAATAGTCCTGTTCAATAGCCATTAACAGATAGTTACCACTGTCAATCCACTGTCGATTTTTGAGATTTTCCAGGAATGGCATCAGAAACTCACACATTTTGAGCGACCAAATTTGGTCGGAGATTGTGTATGGAATATATGAAATGCTAAACGCTGATTGTGAGATACACCAGGAACAGGAAGAAGGAGCAGATTTGAAATTCTTGCCACATAAGTATGAGCTTGGTGTTTCAAAGATTTCCCAATCGATTGCAGAATCCACCTTTCAGTTTGACAATGGTGCATTGGCTCGTTTGATTTAGGTCGAATCTGGAAAAAGATGGGTAGATGTCCACATTCGAAAGGCCCAAGACTGGGGTATCCTCCATTTTTAGACGATGAACCACAGAAAGTCTCGACATCGATGGGAGGCACTACACATGTTCAGCAACATGGAGAATTTCAGATTGGCGCTTCGACTAAACATGGCTGCATTGGGAAGGTGATGGAATATGTTTTGAGTTCTTTCCTGGGCGATCAATCCAGTCATGGGTGATCAATCCATTTTCATAGAGATTTAGACCCACCATGACATGGGATTCCCATGACATGGGATGACGCACTAAACCATGCATCCCATATAACGCACCGCACCCAATGATCCAATGATATGGTGAAGATTTTCCAGTGCCAGCTTGGAGTGCGAAGCACCATATCCCCATTTGTGAGTTGAATATCCACTGGTCACCATGCTTGTTCGAAATTTCATTCAAGAGCTCCATGTCTGAAGCATTTTGCGTATATATTTGTTGTTATTTTATAACATCTACCCTCTGGTTATTTAACGTAGCTATAGAAAATCACAATTTTTAATAGGTAATTAAGCCATCTATAAATGGGCCATTTTCCATGGCTATGTTAAATAACCAGAGGGTAATATCTAATCTCCTTAAATTTGATCCATGACTTGCTTGTTTTTGTTTGCTGAATAGTTGTTAGTCTTGGTGCTGTGTTGTTCCTAAAATACGATCAAATCATATTATTAATATGAGCACTGCCAAATTTGCTCTCACCTGATTATAATAAGATATTACTATGTATATATCATTATCATCCACTACATAATCCATTATAATCCATGATTATCATCCATTAGTGGCTATAGTTCAATCTCCATTATGGGATGGATTAATGATATTCTCAATGATAATCCATGATTAATCCACAACGATCCATGGTAATCCTTTGTTATCCATGAACTACAATACATTGTTAATGATATAATCCGTGATTAATCCATGGGATGCCCACTGATGCTCACTAAAATCATAATGAATTATTATTGGTTATAATGGCTGAGAGCATTTGGTCTTTTACGATTTCAACAACGGCCAGTTCAAAAAGTAAGAATGGATGATGTGAGACCCAGACCATAACTCAAATTCAGAGGGCCTAGATCTTATGTGGTATGCGTGAGAAGGTCTTCTGTGATGAGCATTGAGGTCACTCAGTATGAACCGGCTCAAATCCATTATAATCCACAATCATCAATCATCCATAATTGATCAAGCATCATCAATCCATCATAATGATCCATCATAATAATCCACAATCATCCATCAGGATTTATCATCATCAATCATCCACAATCATCCATAATCATCCATGATCATCCATAATCTTCCATGATCATCCATGATCATCCATAATCTTCCATGATCATCCATGATCATCCATCATTAATCATAATGAAATTCAAATGATAATCATCCACAATAATCCAACATCATGAAAAATCATCCATAAGAATCAACAATAATCCGTTAATCCTCTGTTATCCATTAATTAACTATAATACATTTTAATGATATAATCCATAATTCTATCCATAATGATGTGTAACTATTCCATAATCATCCATAATCATTTATCATCTCTTATCATCCTCATCTATCATCATTAATTATCCATAATCATCCATAATCATACGTCATCTATCATCATTAATCTTAATAAAGCTCAAATGATGATGGTGGATCGTCCATTATTCAACATAATTAATCCATCATAGATCCTTTTCATTTTTTCCAAGGCCCCCGACTTCGTGACCCACTCAGTGATCCTTGCGGGACGGATCCAAGCCATGGTGCAGGACCACGGGGATCCCGTTGTCACCCCAAAATGGGGAGGTTTGGATGGCTTAAAAATGCTTGGAATGATTGTGTCTGATTTTTTTCATGGGGTGTTGAACCGCTTCTTGATTTTATTGATTTGATTTTGATGGGATAAAAGTTTTTTTTAAGCGTATTTTGTGGTTTTTCTTTGGGATCGTTTGATGCGATTTTGATGGGATTCAACTAACCAATTCATGGGGATTTAAACAGAAATGGGATCTTACAATCCAGAGGAACATAGACGTTGAAATGGATAGTATTCCAATCCAGAAAATGAACTAAAAATGGTAGATGTTCCATATCTAGGCTAGTAAAAATTTGGTAATTTCACTGGCTGAGTAGCTAAGTGGCTAGTTTTGTTAGCAGCGATTGAGATAGGAATCAAACAAAACCATCTAAAGATAAAAACCTGTTTCAGAATATCCTATGAATGATCCTAAATGCTGCTCCAATGCAGGTATTTGGGGATCCATAAAGATCAAAACAATTTGGACAAAATTTGAAACACATCACCAATTGTTGAGGTTGCTTTATTAGTACCTCCGATTTTCACCAGCAAAATCATCTTAAAACTCCAGTAATCCAACATGACTTGCTGGAAATGCCAACCATTTGGGCTGTTTTTCCCCAGCTAAGCGAACCCCCCATACGGTCCGTTGATTTCCCCCCAGCTTTGTTTGATGACCAAAATCCCCTGTTTTTTTTTGCTGATGAACCCCCCACTGCTGATGTTTAAACGTAGATATAGATATGTCTATACATATATATATATAGATAGATATAGATATATAGATATAGATGTATAGATATAGATATATAGATATATACATATATAGATATATAGATTCATATATATATATACAAATGTTCACATATATATATATGTTCATATATATATATGTTCATATTTACATATGTATAGATAGATTGATGGATGGATGGATAGATAGATAGAGATAGAGATAGAGTTAGATATAGAGATAGATAGAGATAGAGATAGAGATATAGACATATGTGTGTGTATGTAAATATTTATATATATATATATATACATATTGTATATATAGTGGATTTAGATTTGCATATGTAGATTTAGAATGATTTAGATACATATATATATATACATGGATAGATATAGATAGATTTGTATACATATATATATATATATACACGATATACATATATATATTTATATTTATATTTATTATATCATACATATATGTAGATATATTATAATTAATACTTCATGATGTTATATTTCATACCATATTCTATTGTGTTATCATTGATATTGTATTATATCCAGACCAATGTGGTCACAACCCCATTGATGGTCGAATCCCTTCAATCTCAGGAGGAGCGGCTCGATGCTTAGTCGGCCGGGCGCGTGGACATCGTCGGTTGAACGCCAGTTCGCTTCGCGGGATCGCCTCGATGGCGAGTAAACCTAGGAGGAAATAGTAGGATATATGATACTATGATAGTTGTAACTATGGTACTATGGTATGATATAGTATGATATAGTATGATTTAGTATGATATATAGTATGATATATAGTATGATAGGAGGAAATACTTCCAGAATGGGTCTTTATCCTCCCCCGATTAAAATGTATTGAGCACCCCCCAGAAACCATTTCTGGATGTAGGGGATTTACACATATTTGGGACAGTAGGGGGTTTTTAGTATTAGGGAGATGCGGTTAGTTCCAGTTTGTGAATGGTGGTAAGCTTTGGTTGGATACTTCGATGAGGTATGTTTTGCCCTGAGTCGCGATGGGGTGTCTATCATCATTCCCCCTACCCCGACACCCCGAAACTGCATGGTTGACGTAGCATTGGAGAATTTGGGGGTAAGGTGGGTAAGGGTGAATCTAGAAGATAATAACATGTACAAGATAACTTTGATCAATGGGAATTTCAGGATCCTAAAATGGAGATACTGTACCATATTTTTGGCCATATTTTGTGGGGATATTCCCTTACACAGGCCTTACATAGGCCTTATATATGATATGGTAGGTACCTCCAAGTTAGGTTCCTAAAATGGCCATTGATTTGACTTTAACTTGTTTGTTTTGGGCAAACCGGAGCCATGCCACCTGAAAAGCATGATCAGATGTGGATTCAACACATCAAACTTTGTTTTGAGATTATGGATCGACATGTGTTCCCATTAGCTGGGGAGTGCATTCTGATCACTTACCATCTGGTTATGACTCACATAGCCATGGAAAATCACCATGTTTAATAGGTAAACCATCTATTTCTATGGGCCATCTACTACCATGGCTATGTTAAATAACCAGAGGCTAAATTGTATCTATTTGTTGGGCACCACATTGAAGATAGATGCTAGTTTTTGTTCAAGCGCCCTTTGAGCGGTGCTGAACTGGCCATGTCTCCACTGTCTTTCAAAGTAAAGACCCCTAGAAAGTTTGAGTAGGCCCATGGGAAGCTGAGTTTGGCGCGTTAACAAAAAAGATCCGCAGCACCCGTGTTTCGTCGAGCCTCTGCGTGTCGAAAAAACATAGAAATCAATGAACACCTAATACCCAAAATTTCGTGGATGAGTCCAAGGGTAAGCTCTGCATAATTCTTGATCACCAAACTGTCTGGGTTTGCCTCAATACTAAATGCAACAGTCCTACAAGAATCCTCACACTGTCGATTCTGATCCGATGCTTTTAGACTGTTGGTGGCTAAGATGTTTGTTTCAATTTTACCGCATTTTTCTAAATGCCTGCAGTGTCTTCTCACATATCGTATCATGTGAATCCAGGCTAGGAACAACCTCATCAAACCTCATTAAACCAGCTGGGTCAGCAGCCCTTGTTTTCCTTTTGAAACCTGATTAAATCTCATTAAATCTTATTAAACCTCATAAAACCTCATTAAACCTCATTAAACCTCATTAAACCTCATTAAATCGCATTAAACCTCATCAAACTTCATCAAACCTCATCAAACCTCAATAAAACTCATTAAAATTCCCTAAACCTCATTAAACCTCATTAAACCTCATCAAACCTCATCAAAACTCATTAAACCTCATTAAACCTCAGTAAACGTCATCAAACCTCATTAAACCTCACTAAATTTCATTAAAATTCATTAAACCTCATTAAACCTCATCAGACCTCATCAAACCGCACTAAACCTCATCAGACCTCATCAAACCTCATTAAACCTCATCCAACCTCATTAAACCTCATTAAACCTCATCAAACCTCATTAAACCTCATCAAACCTCATCAAACCTCATTAAACCTCATTAAACCTCATTAAACCTCATGAAACTTCATTAAGCCCCATTAAACCTCATTAAACCTCATTAAACCTCATTAAACCTCATCAAACCTCATTATATAAACCTCATTAAACCTCATTAAACTTCATCAACATCATTAAACGTCATTAAACCTCATCAAACCTCATCAAACCGCATTAAACCTTATTAGACCTCATTAAACCTCATCAAACGTCATCAAACTTCATTAAACCTCATCAAACCCCATTAAACCTCATCAAACCTCATCAGACCTCATTAAACCTCATTAAACCTCATCAAACCTCATTAAACCTCATCAAACCTCATCAAACCTCATTAAACCTCATTAAACCTCATCAGACCTCATCAAACCGCACTAAACCTCATCAGACCTCATCAAACCTCATTAAACCTCATCAACCTCATTAAACCTCATTAATTAATCATCATTAAACCTCATTAAACCTCATCAAACCTCATCAAACCTCATTACACCTCATCAAACCTCATTACACCTCACCAAACCTCATTAAACCTCATCAAACCTCATCAAACCTCATTAAACCTCATTAAACCTCATCAAACCTCATCAAACCTCATTAAACCTCATTAAACCTCATTAAACCTCATCAAACCTCATCAGACCTCATCAAACCTCATCAAACCTCATTAAACCTCATTAAACCTCATTAAACCTCATGAAACCTCATTCAGCCCCATTAAACCTCATTAAACCTCATTAAACCTCATCACACCTCATTAAACCTCATTAAACCTCATCAAACCTCATTAAACCTCATTAAACCTCATCAAACCGCATTAAACCTCATCAAACCTCATCAAACCTCATTAAACCTCATTAAACTTCATTAAACCTCATCAAACCTCATTAAACCTCATCACACCTCATCAAACCTCATTAAACCTCATTAAACCTCATTAAACCTCATGAAACCTCATTAAGCCCCATTAAACCTCATTAAACCTCATTAAACCTCATTAAACCTCATTAAACCTCATTAAACCTCATTAAACTTCATCAACATCATTAAACGTCATTAAACCTCATCAAACCTCATCAAACCTCATTAAACCTTATTAGACCTCATTAAAACTCATCAAACGTCATCAAACCTCATTAAACCTCATCAAACCCCATTAAACCTCATCAAACCTCATCAAACCTCATTAAACCTCATCAAACCTCATTACACCTCATCAAACCTCATTAAACCTCATCAAACCTCGTTAAACCTCATCAAACCTCATCAAACCTCATTAAACCCCATTAAACCTCATTAAACCTCATCAAACCTCATCAAACCTCATTAAACCTCACTAAATTTCATTCAATTTTTTAAGCCTCATTAAACTTCATCAGACCTCATCAAACCGCACTAAACCTCATCAGACCTCATCAAACCTCATTAAACCTCATCAACCTCATTAAACCTCATTAAACCTCATCAAACCTCATTACACCTCATCAAACCTCATTAAACCTCATTACACCTCATCAAACCTCATTAAACCTCATCAAACCTCATTAAACCTCATCAAACCTCATCAAACCTCATTAAACCTCATCAAACCTCATTACACCTCATCAAACCTCATTACACCTCATCAAACCTCATTAAACCTCATTACACCTCATCAAACCTCATTACACCTCATCAAACCTCATTAAACCTCATTACACCTCATCAAACCTCCTTAAACCTCATCAAACCTCATTAAACCTCATCAAACCTCATCAAACCTCATTGAACCTCATCAAACCTCATTAAACCTCATTACACCTCATCAAACCTCATTACACCTCATCAAACCTCATTAAACCTCATCAAACCGCATTAAACCTCATTACACCTCATCAAACCTCATTAAACCTCATTACACCTCATCAAACCTCATTACACCTCATCAAACCTCATTAAACCTCATCAAACCTCATCAAACCTCATTAAACCTCATTACACCTCATCAAACCTCATTACACCTCATCAAACCTCATTAAACCTCATCAAACCTCATCAAACCTCATTAAACCTCATTACACCTCATCAAACCTCATTACACCTCATCAAACCTCATTAAACCTTATTAGACCTCATTAAACCTCATCAAACCTCATTAAACCTCATCAAACCTCATTACACCTCATCAAACCTCATTAAACCTCATCAAACCTCATCAAACCTCATTAAACCTCATTACACCTCATCAAACCTCATTAAACCTCATCACACCTCATCAAACCTCATTAAACCTCATCAAACCTCATTAAACCTCATCAAACCTCATCAAACCTCATTAAACCTCATCAAACCTCATTACACCTCATCAACCTCATTAAACCTCATCAAACCTCATCAAACCTCATTAAACCTCATTACACCTCATCAAATCTCATTACACCTCATCAAACCTCATCAGACCTCATCAGACCTCTTTCAACCTCATCAAACCTCATCAGGCCTCATCAGACCTCTTTCAACCTCATCAAACCTCATCAGGCCTCATCAGGCCTCATCAGACCTCTTTCAACCTCATCAAACCTCATCAGGCCTCATCAGACCTCTTTCAACCTCATCAAACCTCATCAGGCCTCATCAGACCTCTTTCAACCTCATCAAACCTCATCAGGCCTCATCAGACCTCTTTCAACCTCATCAAACCTCATCAGACCTCTTTCAACCTCATCAAACCTCATCAGGCCTCATCAGACCTCTTTCAACCTCATCAAACCTCATCAGGCCTCATCAGACCTCATTAAACCCTTGGATTAAACCCTATATTACCGATGAAATCCCAGGAAATCCCGCTTCACAGTGTCCGCTTCACAGGTCACCAGCGCAGGGCCCAAGGCAGAAATCGAGGTGTTGGAATGAGCCCGTCGTATTTCGGGCACGTGGAGTTGTGGTGGGTCTTGGAACAAAGATCTTCAAAATCCAAGGAAAATGATGGGTTATTAAGCTATCAATAGCTAAGAATCCATATTATTCAAAACATGAATAATAGGAAAAGTATGGAAAAGTGATGGCTTATTAATCACTAATTGATGGGTTATAATCGGAAAATCGATGGGAATCAATGAATTTGTGGGAAAAAAATCACCGGAAAGCCTCTTTTTTTCATGGGAAAATCGATGGTCTCCGGCTCAGATTTTCCCAACAAAACCAATCCATTGATGGGAATATGTTTTTTTTCCCTAAGAACAACTTTCCGACGTTCCTTCTTGGAGGACCACCCCATGAAGCGTATCCATAAAAGTGCTGAATAAACCCATAATAGTGAAATGAAGTGGTTAGTAATTGGGATTAGTTCATCCAATTAAAAACTGGTAGAATCCACTCAATTAGGGGACTCACTAGTCAGGGTTATTAACCACTTACGATTCGTGGGATGAAGCAATACTTAAAATTTGTAGAGGGCCTTTGTATGTTTTAAAGGTTAGTTTGATGGAATATGATTGCTGATGAGTTTGTTTTTTCCAAAGTGGGATTATGATTGTCCATAACAGTGGGTTTCTCGCGTTTGTAAGCAAGCATGGAATGACATTTCAGCTTTAATGGCTCTCAATTGACAACTATTTAAGGGATGATTCCTGATCGACTCCACGATAAGTGATGTTCCCCCCTAGATGTTGTCGGAGAGTCCCCGAAGCAATCATCAACCAACCGAGGTTTTGAACACTTGCTCATTTGTAAACCTATATATATATTATATAATTTATTATATATTGTATTGTATAAAGACTATATACTTACATATAAATAGTAAACAAACACTCTATATGTATATATATATATATAGAGAGAGAGAGCACAGAACCATATTCAGTGGGTAGTTTATATCATGTTCGCCAACTCCCATAGTGAGACGCTCTCCGTGTTTTCTGCAACGGTCGATCCATCCTCTCGATGACGCGCTTGCGTTTTTCGCGAAAGGTTACCCCAGACCGTGCTGACCCTTCACAGTTCCTTGGATCCTTAGGGTCCAATTCATGGTGTGGTGAACTTTTTTTAGCCATGAACAAAATACCCTGGTGAATGGTTAATCTATGGTTTATCTATGGTGAATAATGGTTAACAATGGTTATCTATGGTTTATCTATGGTTTATCAATGGTTAATAATGGTTAATAATTGGAATAACGATAGCCTGGTTCATTGATTGCTTTATAGGGGATTAAAAAAAATACTTTACTTCGTGTGATCCCCACCATGACATTTATACATTTTCTTACTGGCAAATCTTCTGGCATTCTATCTGACATATCTTCTGGCATTCTATCTGGCATATGTTCTGGCATATCTTCTGGCTTTCTATCTGGCATATCTTCTGGCATTCTATCTGGCATATCTTCTTGGCATTCTATCTGGCATTCTATCTGGCATATCTTCTGGCATATATTCTGACATATCTTCTGGCATTCTATCTGGCATATCTTCTGGCATTCTATCTGGCATATCTTCTGGCATTCTATCTGGCATATCTTCTGGCATTCTATCTCATATCTTCTGGCATTCTATCTGGCATATCTTCTGGCATATCTTCTGACATATCTTCTGGCATTCTTTCTGGCATTCTATCTGGCATATCTTCTGGCATTGGCTCTATCTGGCTATCTGGCATATCTTCTGGCATATCTTCTGGCATTCTATCTGGCATTCTATCTGGCATATCTTCTGGCATATTATCTGGCAATATATTCTGGGATTCTATATGGCATATCTTGTGGCATTCTATCTGACATTTTATCTGGCATTCTATCTGGCATAATCTTCTGGCATTCTATCTGGCATATCTTCTGGCATTCTATCTGGCATATCTTCTGGCATTCTATCTGGCATATCTTCTGGCATTCTATCTGGAATATCTCATGGCATTATATCTGGCATATCTTCTGGCATTCTATCTGACATATCTTCTGGCATTCTATCTGGCCGTTGAGGTCCAGCGGTGCACACTGAGCTGGGCAGGTCCCAGGTTGAGGTCCAGCGGTGCGCACTGAGCTGGGAAGGTCTCCGGTTGAGTGCACACTGAGCTGGGCAGGTCCCCGGTTGAGGTCCAGCGGTGCACATTGAGGTGGGCAGGTCTCCGGTTGAGGTCCTGCGGTGCACATTGAGCTGGGCAGGTCCCCGGTTGAGGTCCAGCGGTGCACACTGAGCTGGGCAGGTCCCAGGGTGAGGTCCAGCGGTGCACACTGAGCTGGGAAGTTGGCAAAGAGCTTGGCGAAGAGGGTTGGCAAAGAGCCTGGCCAAGAATTGGCAAGGCGGAAGTGCAGGTGGAAGTTGATGCAGACATGGTCAAGAGAAACTGGAGGAGGAGGAGGACGAGGAAGAGGAGGAGGACAGCTAGCCGAGGAGGAGAACAACTCTGATAAAATCTAACAACCCTCACCTGGCAGGTGGGGAACTAGCTGGTTTACTGGGGATTTTGATAACCCATAGGAATGGGTCCGCTTGGATGGGTGATCGGCGCTGACGTCTTGAAACGGAAAGAGCGCATGCTCCTGCGGAGCCAGGCGTTTGACGTGAGGCCTTGTGGAAAGAAAGCGAACCTTTCCATGGCCTGTACCAGCGAGGGCTTGCACATTTTCGTTCAGACGATCACCGATCTACTTGCAGCTTGCGTTTCAACCAACACTGGTATTTCATGAGATAGCAAAACGGGGTATTTTTAATGGCGCAATTCATTTTATTAATGTTCCGTTCGGGATTTGGATTAAGGCATTCAGCCACGACCAGGAGTCTCAAGAAATGGGATTACCATAAGCCATGGAATATATAATGGTAATACGACTGGACCACTATATTCCAATAATATTCCCACTATATTCCCACAATATTCCTATTATATATAGCATGATACCATTGATATGCCAATATAGTGGAAATAAAATTGCCACTTAGCTATAATCCCATTATGTATATATATATATAGTCCCAATATATTGTTATGTCATGTCATTTATTCCCACAGGATGTGGCCCCATATATACTACAGTTACCCTATGCCTATGATGGTCAATGTTTTATTGATATTAAAGATACATAAAATATGATACCATTGATTTTACTGGGATGATTGATCCATAATTGTATAGTGGGGGGATGGTAACATGCTATTATATTATAGTATTGATATAGTGGGAATATAATGGGTTTTACCCTCTGGTAAATTAACATAGACCCTGGCAGATAGAGCTTGGAAGATGAGTTTCCATTAAAACTAGGCTATTTTCAAGGTCTATAGTGGGAATATAATATGATGGGAATATAGGGAATATAGTATAGTGGCAATTATATTTCCACAATATTATCATATCAATGTATCATGCTGTATACAATGGGAATATAGTGGTCCCATGATATTACCACTATAGTATTGATATGGTGGGAATAGTGGGAAAAACTAAAAATATTTATGTCATGACCACCTGGAGAATAATTATGCCATCTAGGCTCATTATTATGTTTTATTGTTACCCTCCTTGGTAAACGTTTACAGTTTGCTATCCAGTCGAATTAGTTGATTTACCCATAAAAAAAATTGCAATTTTCAATAGCTATGTTAGTTTGGGGCCCCCAAGATAGCTAAGTTGGTGCAAATAACTCCAATGTCACTATGGCTTATGGTACGAATCTAAACCAACTTATAACTGGGGGGCCTCACATTGCATGTTAGTTTACCAGAGGGTTTGACCATCCTAGGCCCACCTCTGAGCCTCGAATTCTGGCCCCCCCCGCCGGACACACCGAACCCACCGGACACGCCGGACACGCGGCTCGGCACGCGACGGCAAGGGCCAGGGCCGGCCATGGCGATACCAGAACCTCTGTGAAAATATCAAGTTTTACCATGAAGAACAGGTTTTTCCTGGGTTTTATACTACTGAAAATATGGTTTTCATGTGTTTAGAAATGAAAGAAGGTTTGAAACAATGGGGGTGTTTTCATGGGTTTCTACCATTGAACGACATCGAAAGATGGTTGGGAAAACCACTTGGTTGATATCATTAATGTTTGATGATTGATTCTGATTGGTGGTTTGGAACATGACTTTTATTTTTCCATATATTGGGAATAATCATCCCAATTGACTAATATTTTTCAGAGGGGTTGAAACCACCAACCAGATATTAGATTCAATTAGTAGATATCAACCATTTATTAAGCACCATTAGAATGGATATCATCATACATTAACCACCATTTACCAGCATTTACCATATTATTTACCATTTACCACCTAGTGTAGCCATATTGATGTCTGATGATTGTCATTTTCCCAATGGGAAAGCCATCATTTTGATGGGGGAATCGATGACTGGGAACATGTTTTATTTATTTGTTACCACTTAATCAAATCCAAGAGAATATCCAATTTTACCACAAGAAAAAAACGGTATTACCTCTTTTTGTCGTTAAAAACGAATTAAATGCGGAGGTTTCACATGATTTAATCAGAAGCAGCAGAAATGTGGATGACATGTGGTTTTAAGGTAATTTTGTCAGATTTTGCATGAGTATTCGATCAGAAGCTCTTGGTTTTTGACCGGATTTGAGACCAAACATGCCCTGCATTTCACAGAGTTCTTCTATCAAACATGGGGAATCACAAGCATTTTCTATGAAAAAGTTAACAAACTCACTATGAAGGCTCTTTGGAATCATCTCCACTACTTGGGATGAAGCTCCACGAATAAGTGGGTTATATAAGCATATTTTTAGGGATTATATCCCATATCCAAACTTATGGTGAAAAATACATAGTTATACCCGTTAGTAGCCCCAACTGCACCCCCAAATGTGGCCCCCACTTCTTCTTGAAGTACATAGTGTGATTGTCCCAATCAATCCAGGTTACGTCAAAGTCAAACATCACTCAAAATCATAAATCATTGACCAAACAATTGAATAGTTTTGCCCCCGGAATGAGCATATGGAGTTGTCACAGAATCTGGACCCCACAATTCCATGACATAATTTCCTTTTTAGCACTGTCATCTGGTTAAAAGAAAACAATTTTGAGACGGACTCATATCAATTTGTTGGCCAAAAAACCACACATACATATCCCATTGTATCCCATGATACCCCCCATTTTCGGTGTTTAATCATTTAATTTTCATGGCGACATCCACCCATATCCAGCAGCCCAGGTATCCAGTCCCATTGTGGAAGGCCGCGCTGCATCTGGGTGTCCGATGACAAATGCCAGATTCATAGGTGCATTTAAGCAGCCAAAATGACGGTTTCATATGCTTTTATGGGATTTAATAGGGGATGTTATGGGGACACAATGGGATATGATGGGATATGACCAAGAACAATGGATATGATTGGGTGGGTTTTTCAAAGCGGGGATTTATAATTGCTATTTAATGGGAAAATAATATGATGCAACCAACAATATCTGAAACTGTCTTGGTTATATTGAGGTATGTTTTACCATTCCAGTATCTGGCATAGATATGGAAAATCCATCCAGCATCTTATTTATTAATACTACCATCTTATATATATATACTTTTCAATGTCGTTTTTTGATGGAAAAAATGATGGATTCACCAGTGAATTTTGTGGGAGTTACGAACATAGTATTCAGACAAACCACGACATTTTTGCTGGGGATACCCTCTGGTAAACATACAAAAAGCTATTGAAAATGGCCCAGTCGAAATAGTTGATTTACCCATTAGCATCGCATGGCAATGTTCAATAGCAAACTGTTTACCAGAGGGTACCCTCCGGAAAAGTGGGTGCTTTCCCTGGATGATGCTCCCAAAAATCTATGGAATTTAATGGATCATCCTAGTCAATTTCGTCCGATGGTTTACCCTGTGGTTATGTCAACAGTTTGCTATTGAAAATGACTATAGAAATAGTGGATTTACCCATTAAGAAATGGTGATGTTCCATAGTTTTTTGTATGTTTACCAGAGGCTAGTTTGTTGATTGACATCTTAGTCCCGATGTGGGCTAAAGTGAATTAGTGAAGTCTCGCACGCATAGACCATTTGGCTATGGATCAATACCTATTAATACCATTTTTAGTGGGATGAACATCCATTTACCAGCTATTTTGATATTCACCAGGGGTTCCAAGGTTTTGACCAATAGCCATTTGTTGAAATTTCTCAGTTTTGTTGAGTCCCCAAGTGGGGCTTTGAAGGACCCTCTCTCGGTAGCGAAATCGTGAGAAGTTGACGTACAGTGAACCACTTAGGTGAAGCTTTGGATGAGGGGATACGACTATAATGGCATTTAGTATAGTATATAGGAATATAGTAATATCCAACTTAATGGTGTTTAGAAACTTATAATTTGTGTCCTCACCTAGTATCTATTGAACAAGTAGGATTAACTCCCTTGCTACAACTCAAAGGGCTGCCGCCCCCTGCCGCCGACCCCTGGAGTGGTTGGGGTCATAAATGCAGCTTGCACTTCAAGCACCATACTGATGAACCCGCACAACATGTTCATTTCCTTGCGCTCGACCGTCCATTTTGAAGTGCCAATAATGCAAATGTGACAAATGTGACAACGTCCAACAGGATTACTGCACATATGGCATGCCTTCACCCAGAGGGTGAAAGCGTAGTTCAGCCGTGGAGCGGTAGCATGGCCAGAGAGAAGACCTCCTGAGGACGATGGTGAACGGACAACTTGCGGCCGATGGTGCCACAACAACGGCTGAGCCTGGAACAGAGACCAGGCCTTCGACAGCCGCTGCTGCTGCTGAGGCACCTGCTGTGCCAGTCGGAGGATCGGACGCTCCTCCTGGTCTGGGCCTGGGCCTGCTGCTGCCCGTTGCATAATCTGCCTATGCCCGACGTGCGCAACTCCGCCCGGGATCTTCTATGCCCTTTACAAGTTGGGGTGGCCACCCGCAATGGCACTGAAGCAGTTGTCCACACTGCCCGACACTGGGCGCAGAGGCATGCAGGGCAGGCTGAACAGGTTCTCCTCAAAATTGATTTCAGCAATGCCTTCAACACGGTCGATCGGGCTTCTCTCCTCCGCGAGACTCGCCTCCGCCTGCCAGGCTTGTCCCCTTGGGCAGAGTGGTGCTATGCCTGTCTTGCTTCTTTTGCTTTCTTTTCTTCTCTTGCCTCCTGCTTCTTGTTCTTGCTTTTGCCCTTCTCTTCGCTCTTGCTACTAGCGTCACTCAAAAACAGCATGCCAATATAAGCCGGATGGTGCCTTCGCCTTAACGTCGCTTCTTGCTTCTTGCTCTGGCATCTTGCTTTCTTCTTCTATCTCCTCCTTCCTCTCCCCACTTTTCTCTTGCTGCCTCGCCTCTCGCTTCTTCCTCTTGCAGCTGGCTTTCTTCTTATCTTCTCCCCTTCCCCTTGCTGCTAGTAATTGCTGCTCTGACGCGCTCCCCCGCATCATGGAAACAGCAGGCCTCCGGGACCCCAGAGCCCGAGGACCATAGACCTGCAGGTCGTCGGAGGAACATTTTTCACGAGAGCTCGATGTCAAAAATAGTTTCAAATAATGATTGACATAGTCAAATCGTATCAAATAGCCACTACTAGCACAACTCCCAAGCGTGCTGGTTCAACTCAGAATATGTTGGGAGGTTGAACATGTTCACCTTCCCATCATATGTTCATCATATTCCATATTTTCCATTTTTTCCATTAAACTTCATGAAATCGTATGAAATCCCAAGTTTTCATGGTAAAACCATCATGTGTTCATGGTTTATTCCCATGAAAACTTGGGCTCCACCTTGGAGGCTTGAGACCTGGCAAGAGTGTGCGAGTGAGCGGCTTGAAAGGAGATGCTGTCGGAGTACCCAACGGGGAGGGCCATGGTGAGCCATCAAAAATGGCTGATACCCTGTGGTAATTTAACATAGCTATGGAAAATCACCATTTTTAATGGGAAAATCCACTATAAATGGTCATTTTCAATAGCTATGTTAAATTACCAGAGGGTAACTGATAGCTGATGTTTGATACCTGGGTATGGATCAATACCTATGAAAATACCATTACCATAGTAGGATGAACATCCATAAATCCCAGCTATTTTGAGGTGAACTACAGGGGTACAAGGTTTTGACACACTGCCATCTGATGATTAATGACTGATGGTGAATAACTTGACTGATTATGGATGATATAGTTGATACACTTGATATAATGATCATCCATTGATCATCCATAACTGTTAAGAACAATTTCAGTGTACCATGGCTGATTATGGATGATCATGGATGATAATTGATGCTTGATGACTGATGGTTGATAACTGATGGTCTTTCTTGCCGGGAGCGATGAAGCTCCAATACTTGTTGGGGATGAGGACCACAATAACGAGAGCTATTCATCAGTGTTTCATGGGATTGGATATAGGACGGCTTAAGATCTAGTTGATGAATGGCTAATCGGATATGGGTTTGTCTGAAAATAGGGTATATTCCCAAACAAATAGCCATTTAATAGGGATGATGATCAGCAAAACCATTGGGTTTAGAGGTACACTATTTTCAGACACACCCATTAATGGTCATAGTATGTCATACCCTCTGGTTATTTAACATAGCCATGGAAAATGGCCCATTTATAGATGGTTTACCTGGGTTTACCTATTAAAAATGGTGATTTTCCATGGCTATGTTAAATAACCAGATGGTAGTTTTTTTGGCCACTGGCCGCTTCCGGCGCCAGTGGCCGTGGTGCCGAGGCGTTACGTCTCAACGGCGAGAAGGGCGTTCGGGCATCCCAGCGGCGTGTTTTCGCCATGAAAAAACAGCGGGTTTTTCGCATGACAAATCATCGAACTAGAGAAGGGCCATGGCAAAAAAAGTTCGAAAACTGTTAGAGGATATAGAGCAATCATGTTCACCAATCACATTGGTGAAAACCCAAGTCAAAACCCAAGTTTTGGATGTGGTGTGGCCAATGGCCAAAATTTCAAATCAAATCGGACATTCGAATTCTCGCATAAAGGGTTCGAACGAAACAATAGTGGGAGCATAGCCAGCAACAGTAGCCATGAATGGGTCAAAAGTTGTGTTTTTTTCATATCCGAGGGGATGGACATCTACGAATACCAGGATGTTGATGCGTAGCCGATCTTATAATAGGGATGTTGATATGGAAAATCTATATGAATCTGATTCTGGAAATATATTTAATATATATTATATATATATATTATATATATAGTATATATATAATATATATATATATTATATATATATTATATTATATATATTATATATTATATATAATATATATTATTTATATAATATATATTATATATATAATATATATAATATATATTATATATATCTAATGGTGTTTGAT